CACTGGGCCATTTCTGTTTATTTGGCATGAATGATGTCATATTCCAAAGAGAATTTAGAAACCTTTTTGTTCTTGTTGAGCAAAGTGGTTGTGCCTCTATGACAATAGTGGACAAACACTCTTCATCAGACTAGCACATTTTACCAGCTTTGTTTGATGTGGATTCTGAATGTTACAGACATTTCTCTCTCTGAAACACAAGATGTAAGTCCTTTGAGTCCTTAACAGATCAAGCTTTGAGTGTAGGATTGGCAATAATGAAAGTGTTATAAAATAGAAAATAAAATGTGATGTCTGATATTCCTTTTCATTTATGTTAATAATAATATCCACTTGTACATTTCACTGTAGGCTTTCTAGTAGTAGTTGCGAGACATTCATTCATTTACACACACATATATATATGAAAATTTAACATATATATATATATATATATATATATATATATATATATATACCCAAACCATAGAACACAGAAAGAACTGCCATTTCACCCTTTTTTTCCATATGGAGAATCTGAGTTGCAGAGAGATTTGTCTACATTTAAACAATTACTCAGTATCTCTAACTGTTATCGAACTTAGAAGGCTCAGGTTTTATTAACTGTGTAGTTTTAAATTTTATTCCCTTAAGATTCTTTTGTACACATAATTTTTTGATAGATACTTACTTTATACTTTGTACTAAACTGATGTAAGTATACCTTTAAAATCTTTCCATTATACTATAAACTCTTCTGTAATCTCTGCACGATTACAGACCTAACTCTTGTGACTTGGCAGGTGTTCAGTGCATGCTCAGAAATGATGCATGCTCACAAAACAAACCTCCCTCATGGGGCAGGTCTAGATCAAGATCTACACAACCCACATTATATGAATGCAAGCAGAATTAGCTGTCTGTTCTTCTCACCCACATAGAGGAGAAAATATTCAAAATGGCTTTTCATGATTAATTGTAAAAAAAAAAAAAATACAGGCTGTGCATGAGTCAGATTTCCTGTAGCTGGATGCTCTACCTGACACCCATAACTTAGAGGAGAGTTTAATTTGGCTCCCATTTTAGGGGCACTCAGCTTAGGCTCAGCTGGTTCTTATAAGCTGACAGGTTATGGTAGAGGCCATAATGGGGCAGAGCTGCTTATTCATGGCAGTGGTGAAGCAGAGCAGGAGAACAATGCCAGGGAGAAAAGGGTGAGACTAGACACCTGCGACCCACCCGAACACATCCAGAAGTGTGCTCCACCGACCTCCCAGGCAGATGCAAAGTCAGTCTAGCTGATGCGACCTAGCTGTCCCAAACCGGGGAAAATCCAGAACGCGCAGAAGAACATAAGAAAAGTTATTTTAAATTTTAGCAATAAGTATTATTTTTCTAGTTATTATTTTTAAAGACATTTATGTACACATACTTTTCATAGCAATAATCACATTCACTTTTATATCCTGGTTTTAAACATTTTATTATGTCTCTTAAAATCTTTTTTTAAAAATTTCTTGTTGGTGGCTTCTTGCTTTTCTATCATATGGAGGGTCTGTAATTTATTACTGGATATTTCGGGCCTGTCTTTGTTTACTATTATAAATAATATTGCGACAAACATCTTTCTATATAAATCTTTCTGAGCATAACTTTCAGTGTACCGTCTGTCTGCTAGAGCCCCTTGATTGGTGACACACATCTCTGGTAACTGACCCTGGACACATGAAACTGAAGCTGTGTAGCTAGAACTTGTCAAGATGACAAATATGGTAGTAGTGACCTGTCTTACATTCATAAAACAAACTAGGTAAAGCTATCATTTTGTAGACCATTTATTTGGTTTCAAAATGAGATGCTTCAAAGATTCTACTCAAGACATATTTAAGGAGAGTGAAGGTGACCTTACAGAGAGCCAGCCTTGCTTCATGTCAGGTTGGCGACCAGCACCAACCTCACGACCCGTCAGATTCTGGTCACTCAGGATGAGCAGATAGGAAGGGATGTGAGGACTCAGGGTAGTTGTGGATGCTCTGTGGAACCACAGAATGGTCTTCCAAACTAAGGAGTACTGACTGAGAAAGTTGAAGCTTTGTGCAGAAAGCAATGACCACTAACAAATTTTAAAATTTAGTGAGCTCTATTAAGACTGCTAAAAAGAAAGGTACCTTTAGTTAGGCTTGTGGGTCACCTCATTAGACCAGACTACTAGAATTTTAAAATTATGATGTAAGAATCATGCTTGTATCCATATTTTCAAGAGATCTGCAATATATAACACATTTATTCAGAAAGTTTGTTGAAGTGAGGGACTCACTTATTTTATAAATGTTATAACCAAAAATATACTAGAACTAAAAAACTAAAAGCTACATAAAAAAAGACTTCAGTTGATTCTCAGTTACTTAATCTGCAACATAAATGCTTACCTGTAATACCCGAAAAGGATAAAGCTTTTACCTTTCATCTAGAATTTTATCTTCTAGGACAGATTTGACTATTCTAGGTCCAAATTCCAGGTATTTAATATATTCCAGTTTTGCTTTCTGATTCATGATGATAATTTTACCACTAGCTCTTAACACCTATTGTACTAGACTGCTAAATTAATATCACAGTGTGAAAATTTAACTGGTAATGGTATGCAAATTATCCAAATGCAAACTTTTATGGATTAGTGCATTCAAAAAATTTTTCAAAACAAAGGTAACTGAAATGATAAAAAGATCAACTAGTCACCATTTAAAAAGGAAGCTGGCTACATATAAAAGAATTAAGTGCTTTAAAACAAGTATGCCTGATTTTAATCAAGCATGTGAACATAACTGCTGGCATAATGCTTTGATTATACTATGGGATGTAAACAGGAAATATGTTTCTAATCTATGCTGTGGGTTGAATCGTGCCTGCCAGAAAGATATGTTTAAGTCTTAATTTTAGGTACTTGTGAGTGAGAACATATTTAAAAATAGGGTCTTTGTAGATATAACCAAGTTAAAACAAAGTCTTCAACTGGGCCTGATCCAATGTGATTAATGTCTCCGAAAGACCATGAAATTTGAACAGACACTCACAGGGTTGGGGTGAGGAAGAGGGCTGGGTGATGATGGAGGCAAAAGCTGGTGAGCTGCATTGAGAAGATAAGGAATGTCATGGGATGCTGGCAACCATGACGGTCTGGAAGAAGCAAGGAAAGATTCTCTCCTGCAGTTTTCAGAGGAGTGAGGTCTTGATGACATCTTGATTTTACAGTTCTCGTCTTCAGAACTACAAGACAATAGAGTTTTGTTATTTTAAACCACTCAGTTGGGCGGCTTTGTTGCAGTATCCTGTGCTTTCATTATGTTCTGCCCGATTCACTTTCTTCATCCCTTAGTTAAGCCTGGGACACATTACGTAGAATTTTGTTCAGTTTGTGTTTTTAAATGTTCTCTCAGTTCAATTCTTTAGCCTCACAATTGACTTAACTCTTTCCTTCTTGGGGAGCCAAAGGAGTCAACAATTTCTCCATGTATCCCTGTACCTGGGACTCAGGTGGAGACAGGGTTGTATTCATCTTTTCCAGGCATGTCACCTTGCCTTTTTCTCACCATGAGAGTGGAGAAGACCACTCTTGTAAGCACAAGGCAGGAAGTGAGCTCAGCTCAGAGAGGGAGCATCACCCCCAGGAACCTTCTTAGCAGAAGTCATAAGATTTCCCAGCATCCAGTGAGCCAAGTGTCTGCATATTCTTATTGTATGTGCTTCCACAACCCACAGATGACTCCATTTAAACTTTGGTCACCTGTTTGTAGGTGTTCTATTAGTGATTGAGGTCAAGAAGGTTTACTACAGATGCGAACAGCCTGTAGGAAAAACGTAGAGCTCTGGGAATGTCTGACATGCTTTCACTATCTCAGTGCTGCAAAGTTCTACCCCCATATAAAGTCAGTAAGTTGCCAAAATCACAGAATACTTGTTTAGATATTTATTGTGCATGTGCGGGCTAAATAACATTTGCTGACTTACTTGGAAATAGACGGCCAAGGCAAAAAGCTGTAGCCCTAGTATTTTGGGTAAACTGACCGTACAGTAGGGGATTCTTTCAGCATCTTCTTCCTTCTTCCAAGGGCAGGAAAAAGTCTGAGGGGAAGAACAGGTCATCCATTACAAACACTGCATGCAGGAAGCTGCGGGTTTCCCAGGTTCTCTTCCTTCCCTCACTGAATTCTGTTTCATTGTTTGCAAGGTTGTGGGGCTGGTGTGAGAGTTGGGTAGAGGAGTCAATTCAGTTTTGAGGAAAGTTTCCTGACTTAATTGTTAGTGGCTTTCTTTAGGATGTGGGAATATTTAATGTCTTTTTCTCCTCAGTTGTCTTGAGCATTTTGAAGGCAGGGTGCTTACAAGAGTGCCTGGCAGTACTCTCCTAGGGAGACAGGGTGGGCAGCATGATTGTGAAAAGATGGATTACTGAATCCCCGAGGTAACGTTACACTTACCTTTTATTGCACTGGGAAAATAGGTTTTCTGTTTTCAACTTTTTTTCCTTCCTTGTTCTTCACTTTTGATATTACAAGATATTTTAGATTTTGCCAATATTTTATGATTAATGAGATGGAGAAAGAACTGCATTTAATGTGAAGGCCTAGCAGTGAGACTCCTGCCAAGGAACAGTGGCTCTTGGCCTCCTTCCACAGGATGAGAATATCAGTACATTGAAGAAAGGAAGATGGTGTCCACTCATCTGCTTGCAGGTCAGCAGGCTAAGGTTTTGAAATTAATTATCAAATCAGAGTCAGCTGATTGATGATCTGTCCCTCACCTAGCTGTTCTTTAAAAATATCATCTCTTGATAGCCATTAATAGTAACATCGGGAAAGTTGTTAGAAACACAAATTTCTTAGGCTGCACTGCAGACCTACTGAATCAGAAACTGGGGGCAGATTCCAGGCATCTGAACTGACATACTATTGAGGTGATTCTGATGCATCCTTGTATTTGAGAATCACTCTTCTGATCTCTTCCCCAATCCAAAATGGCATGCTGGCTTCTCCCACCAAGAATTATCTACTTATGGCTTAATGAACAGTATTGATTTATTTAAAAATTACTCCTTTAAAATTATCAGGCGATTTTCTTTGCATTGAGTTTTGTGACACTTCGAGCTTTGTGACATACTTCAACTGAGGTGAAGAGATTTTCTTTTCTCCTATCTCAGAAAACGAAACTACAGAGCTTATATCTTTTAACTACTTTAAATGAGGCGATTCCCACTGAAGCCTAAGCATGCTTAGTGGTGTTTATTCCTATGGGATATTTTATTGCATAAAATGATGCTGGAGGATGGGGCTTACCCTTCCATGGTTCATTTGCTCCACAGCAACATCAATCATATTATATACTTTACGCAGGTATTTTTTATATGTCTAACCCCATATGAATATGAATCCAGTGAAAGCAAGGGATTTGCTGTTTTCTTAGGACCTTTAATAGTGCTCAGCAAATATTAAAAAATATCAAATATATCAGTAGAAATACATCAATGAATATATGATGGTTAGGTTTCCATAATGTATTTTATAGATACTGTGCATTTCTTTGTTTATTGATTTATTGAAGAAAATACACTTACTTTTCATTGTGAGTATCACATGCTTTACAAAGTAGTTTTTAGAATTCTCCTTATTTTCATGAGATATATACAAGAAAGTTTACTAGACTGATGTGGGAGTTGTTGCTCAGGGATGTATTATGGGGTGATTTGTCCTGAAACCATACAGGTGTGGCTAAAAACAGGCGATTTAAGGAAAGAATAAGGATATCAAATCAACACAGAAGAGTTTCCTTTTTCTTTTCCTTTCTTTTTTTTTGTACCGGGAGTCGAAGTGAGGACCTCCCTCCTGCTTGCCAGGCAGGTGCTAGTGCCACTGAGCTATAGTCCCCGCTCCACAAAAGAACTTGTCAGCAATTCGCAGCTGAGCCACACACACAAACATATCCTTCTGCAGGGCTTTCCTTTGGATGGTAAGTCCGCTTTGGTGCTAGGCCAGGCACCTCCCAGCGTGCAGGATCTCCACTTTCCTTTTTGCACATCTCACAGCTCCCACTTCACAGATGTTCGCCGTTTTCTTACGTGCCAGTGACCCCATTTTGACACAGTAGAGCTGGTTTCCACCTTTGACACACTGAGGGGGCAACAGGCAGATACAGCTGGAAGTGGAGGCTGTAAGGAGAGACAGAGAAGTTCAGCATCATTGTGTTTGCGGGCTTGGCTTTTCCTAACCATTCCCATGATGATGAGCTCCTTGGGGATGGTGAACAGAAGCTGAATCAAAGGCAGTGACCCACAAGACCGAGCTGTGATGAACATGAGCCACCTGCATGCAGGGCGGTGGGGTGCATCCTGAGCCAGCAGGATCTAAGAGCTGAGCTGACTCTGACACCTTCCCCTCTGACTGCCCAGTCTCTAATCCTGTCAATCCATCTCCACAGTTCTTCCTTCTGTCCTTTCTGTGTTTTCTCTCACTGCCTAAGTACAATTGTACTTAATATTTATAGGATATGAACTAGGGAATCACACCATCTGCCAATATCTTAATATCCTTTATTTCAGTGAATCTACCCAGCAAGCCACTTGAACTATGCAGTCGTGCTAATTCTACAGTTGAGGAAATAGTTCAGAGAGGTTAAGCACATTGCCCACATTTGTTTTTTTAGAATGTTCCTAGGAGATTTATATTTTAGGAAGCAGTTCAACTAGGTGATTCTCATATGAGACCTGATTTTCAAGTCATCTAATCACTGCACAATTCATTTAACTTGAATTTATGAAATATGTTAAAAATAATCATTTTGATGAACTAGCAGAGAATTAGTAGAATAGTTATCTATCTTGCGCACATGTACTTACGTAAAGTTATAGGTGTATACCTACATACATATGATCTGTTCCTTTCTTCCATTTCTCCTTTACCTTATCGCAGTTGTTCTTTCCCTTGCAGGACCTTCTTTTCCTTTCTTTATTACAATATCTATTGTATATGTTGGATCTTATTACTCTTTCAGTTTATTATTATTATTATTTACTTTTTACATTAGGGAGACAATACGATACTTACAAATGTGAGTCTGATTTATTTCACTATGACAGTCTCAAGTTGCCTCCATTTACCTACAAAAACCTCAAGATTATCCTTTTATGGCTGAGTAATATTCCATTATATAAAAATATCACATCTTTTTTTATCCATTCTTCAGCTGATGGGCATTGGTTGTTTCCAAGATTTAACTATTAAAAATTGTGCTACTATAAACATGGTTGCACATAAATCACTGTGACATTTTCAATTTTTCTGGGAAAATACCCAGGAGGGAGAGAGCTGGATTGAATCAGGCTTCCAATCCTAGTTTTTTGAGGAATCTCCATACTGATTTCCACAGTGACTCCACTAGCAGTGGAGAAGTGTTCCTTTTACCCCACAGCCTTCCCAATATTTGTTATTGGTTGATTTCTTGATGGCAGCCATTCTTTCTGGAGTGAGATGGAATCTCAATGTGGTTTTAATCTGCATTTCTCAAATGACCAGCAATGGTAACCATTTCTTCATGTACTTATTTTCCATTTATATTTAGCTTGTACTGTCATTGTTTGATTGTTTGATCATTTTTTATGCCTAGATCTTGTAATCTGAACACCTATTTCTAAGATAACAATATGTAATATATTAACTAGTGTCGATTTCTCACTGTTTTTTTTTAATTCTGTATTATTTCTATCGTTTTTTCTGTTTTGCTTTCTTAAAATAAAAACATTTTAAAAAATAATCATTTGGGGGTAAAGTAACCACATCAAGTTTGCTAACTAAAAACATTAGGTAGAGAGATATTCATTTGCTTATAGAGAATGTGCATATATTTTAGTCAAAGTCCAAAGTTCTCCACAATTTGACTCCAACTTATTTTTCTAACATTATTTTTTTATGTTTACTTTCTCAATTCCACGTAGATTAATTCTCTCTTAGTTTTCTGAATAAGACTCCAAAGGTGTTAATGCTTTTATCCTTTCACCATTTCTTCCCTTTTTTGCCAGGCTAATCTGCTGTTTTCAGTGTCTCTTCCCATGTTAATTTTCTACAACTCTAGCATTTCATAACCACTTGACTCCCATAATCTTGTCTTTAACTCAAGTTTAATAGCATATTCTTCAATACCATTTCTAATATTTCTATGCTCTACAGTTACATGTATCTTTTCCCTAAGAGAATCGTAAGTGCTTTGTTTGAGAACACTAACTGGTTCATCCATCTGTATGATTTATTCAGCTCTTTAAAAGTTCATTTAATTCATCTGTATTAATTTATTACAAATTCTGAATTTTGGGTACAAATGTAAAGCATATATTGTAAGTATTACAGTAGTAATACTTATAAGTATTTCATGAATGTGGGATAATTAATATAATCAAATTATTAGAGTCAGCCTAAGTGTCACCAATGAGGTCATTAATGGATAACTTTTTCTAAGAAGATGTCAGTTCTTTTCCATGTATATCAACTTATGGGAGAGAATAGAAAGAGTGAGGGAGATACTCATATATTCCATATACATAGATATATTGTTCTTAATAGGAAATGTTTGATGAAAAGTATACATTTTCTTCCTATCTTCCCTCTTAAACAGCTAGAGAAGATTCTAGCCATGTAAAGTCTTATCCATTATTGGAAGGATGGGAGTTTTGAGAATACCAGGGGACTGTTCCATTTTTGGTAAGGAAATCAGTTCCTTGGCTTTTGGAAAGGCATGGTGACTACTCTCTTAGCATGACTGTAACTTAAATGCTCTTAGCTTAATTATTTTCAGACAACATGCACCAAAATGTCCTTCCCCCTACTTCTGCTGACTAATTTTTCAACACTCAGTGCTCATGTTTTTATGTTTATGAAATCTTTCTGGCTGAGAAGATATTTTTCTCTTGTATAGCAGTTATTACACACTTCTTTACATTAAAGTGATTCATACAACTGCCGGATGATAATATCCCTCTGATTACCATGAATAATTTGAAGGGTACAAAGGATTCTTTGTCTTCGGCCAGCTCACCATGTCTTGTACAGCAATTTTTACATCTTGGATGCTAAATGGATTTTACTGAATGAGTTTCACCTTCCTGTTGGTTGGTGGTGGATATTTCTGAAATTCCAACAGAACATTTACTATCCATAAAAATAGGCCCCCTAGGGAAGCCATTCTTGTTCTAAATTTTGAAAAGTGAACTTCATGTTATGTGGAGGCTGCACTTAAAACTTTTTCTTATTTCATTTTAGAGAGAGAAGGGAAAGAGCAACAAAGAGCACAATGTAATCAAGAACACAGTTTAATCAAGGTGACATTCAATTCAACTCAAAATCACTAATATCCCAACATGCCCTGAGTGGGTTGGGTATAAAATACATGCTAACTTTCTCTTTGTTTGTAAATACATTAGTTTGTACACTGATTTTATTCTCTAGTGCCTCTCCAAACAGCATTCTCAGTGACACTGACTTGCTTTCTAGTTGAAGAATGCTGGCAGATACAGATCATATCTTTGCACAAAATGTTCTGAGTTTTCTGATTATGTGCAGGACCCCAAATACTTTAAATTATCGAGATAAATATTTTATTAAGAAACATCAATGTGTTGGTTTGATTATCCTGTAAGATTCTAATTTGAATGTTATTGCTAAAGCATTCAAATATTTTAGCATCTTTTTGGGGACAAATTTAGATTCCTGGAGTGCGTGGGTGCTTATGATGCATGTATAACAAAAGGGTAATAGCAAAGGAGATATTTTTATGAAATCATTTGCTGCCAATTATTTTACAGTGAGACAGGCTTGAAAAGAATAGTTTGTGGAAAAAATAGCAGAAATATAAAATTCCTCACCATATGAAGTTTTTTAAATTACTTATGATAAGGAAGAAAAAATGCTCACTTTAAGCATAACCCCAGATACCTTATCATTTTTTATCCTACCTCCTGTCCAAGTTCTTTTTATTTACTCTATTTTTGATGATAATGTTCTTATACTACATTTTAAGAAAAATTTTATATTTAAATACAAAACATAATAAATCAGCTCTTTGCTACTCAAATTATTGCTTCTGAGAGGTCTTTCTATTGACTGATAGAGATTTGATCAAGCATGCAAAAAATGGGCAATAGAATTTATATCTCTAATAAAAGAATAGGTTTATTTCATGTTTGTTAGAACTGAGCAATGTACATCTTATGCTCTGTTATGTGGTCTTGTAGAATTTCCCTGCTCAAATATGGCATGAAGGTCGGAAGTCTCAAGTAGTCACCTCTTGGGTTTCTGCCATCAGATGGCCCAGTCATTATGTCACCATGTCCACTGTCTGTCATGGATCAGAGAACTGAATCTTGATAATCAGTTTTAAATAGAACATGAAGGACCTAGGTTTGAGTAAAAAGATCTCTCTTCTCCCTGAGACTGAGCTAAAGAACTCCAGGGCAGAATGTGGAAGAAGAGCAAAGGAGAAAAATGTTTTTTTTTAAATCTTTTTTCTTCTAAACACAAGGTGGCTTGTTAAAGCCAAAGTTAGAGTTCAACAAGTTTCCATTACATATTGTATGCTAAGATTCAAGATACACTTTTGAAAATGTGTCTAAGGGAAACCCAGTTGCCTATTTCAGCTTTGTTAAATCCTAATCTGCAAACATTTTTGTCTATTATATGAAGCTTAGTTTTGGCTATTTCAGGGTCAGACTTCATCTCAGATCAAATGTACTGCTGTGAGTTCCTGCTTCCAGGCAATTCAGAAATGTAATGCCAATTACAATGTACTTATAAACAGTGGAAATGTAATGCCACTTAAGTATTAAATTGCCAAAGATATAAAGGAGTGTCAAATCTAAGGCTTGGCAAGGGTATGGGGGGGGATAGTTCTCTATTATATAATTCAGACACTACATAGCACATGACACATATATATATATATCACAGTAAAAATATTTCTGGAGAGTAAGTTGGTTCATTGTGTCAGTAAAAATTTGTACTTAATATTTATCTAAAAATTTCATTTTCCAAACTATATTCTAAAGCAATAATTTTAGATTATAGATCTATATGTGATAGACATATCTCTTGAAGCAATCTTTTAAACAGCAAAATATAGAGGAAAATTCAAAAACTACCCAAAAATTGATTAAACAAATCACCAAATGTCCCTACAGTTTTCGAAGGCATTCACTAATTTATGGCAAAACATATAATGACATGGAAAGAGTTTCATGATATATTAAATGAAAAACATCCATTTACAAAATATCACAAAATATAATTCCATTTTATATTTTAAAATTTATATGCACAGTCACTCTTGAGATGTGTGAGGCCTCAGGGAAGGTTTTATAAGAGTGACTATCTGTGTAAATAGTAAGTTAAATTAGACTGTCAGCACCATCCTGGCAAGCAATCATGAGCAAGAAAACCCTGCTGGCCCCATTGGAGCAATCTGCTAATGGACTGCTCCCTGGGAGTGAGTGTCTAACTGGGTCACAAAGTCCACCATAGCCACGAGTCACAGAGCTTTCTGGGGCATCTGGGTGATTCTATTCATGGTGGGGAAGGGAAACAGGAGAGGTCTGGAGAATGTTCTATAGAGGAAAAAATGTGGCCCAGGACATTTTCTTAAATAACACTATCATCCCTGACTGGTTCCAGGTGCTAAAAGAGGTCTTAAAGAAATTGCAGGAAGATGCTCCTTGCAAGCATATTCATGTGAAACCAAACCCTACATGGACAGTACTGTTGGCCCAATGAATCTCAACCACCAGAGGAAAAACTGACAATACCAGTGGAGGTCCTCTAGAACTGGATGTGGGAAGAAGAGCCTGACACATGAAATCAGGACAAAGGGTCTTCCTAGTGGGGACTGAGGGTGATACTGATGATATGCACAGAAAAGGACTGAAAGAATAGCTGGCCTAAGTATTAGGGCAATTATTTCTAATTGCACGTAGCTATAGTTTCTCTTTCCTATTTCAGTCATTTAAACATTGTTTTACAATAGAAAGGAAAATTTAAAGGACAGATTAGCTTTCTAAAAATGAGGAATAAATGTGGAGAAGAAACACTATAACATATGAGATCAAATCTGAGTGAGAGTATTTTTAGTATATGGTCGACATTATGACTAACCTGAACATTTTTCCCAGTCGTAGCAGGTGTCGTAGCCACAGGGTTCTTTCTTTGTGCTATTGGATGCAAGTTTTGTCCTTTCAAGACCCCATTCTAACTCTACACCTTCTTGGCAGGAACCAATATGGAGAAAATGGAGATGTTGATTATTTAAACATTTCTTGGCCAAAAACATACAAGCAGATGAGGTCAAATAATGATTGGAGTCCGTATCAAATACACAGAGATCTTCTGAATCTTGACTGCCCAAAAAAGAAAAGCAGATATTTACAGATGAAGAACAAATGGCAAGTAGCAAATTTAATATTTTAATTTACCACCCAGCATTTTCTTTTATTCCCCTTAATTTCTCTATTATTTCCTCCAAACTCTCTATTTCATCTTTCATGCTTCTAGAGATTCATTTTTTTAAAATTGCATCTTAGCCAGAGCAATAAGATAGAGAAATAAAAGGAATAAGAAAAAGAAAGAGTAAAACTATCATTATTTGCAGATGACATGATACTCTTCATAGAAGATGCCAAAACTCCATCAAAAGACTTCTAGACTTCATAACTTCAAAACTGTAGCTGGTTACAAAGTTAATACTCAAAAATCAGTAGCATTCCTATACACTAACAACAAACACTGAGAGAGAAATTAGAGAAATAACACTCTTCACATTAACATCTGAAAAAATGAAATACTTAGTAATCAGTCTAGTGAAGGAAATAAAAGATCTATATATTGAAAATTATAGATCTATTATAGACTCTGAAAAAGACCAAAGAGGGTATCAGAAAATGGAAAGATGTCCTTGTTCATGGATAGAAAAGCCAACATAGTGAAAATGCCCATACTCTCAAAATTGTTATGCAGATATAATGCAGTCCTGATCAAAATATCATTAACATTCCTCACAGAACTAGAGAAAACAACTCTAAAATTTATCTAGAACCAGAAGAAACCTAGAATAGCAAAGGCAATTCTGGGCAACAAAAGCAAGGCAAGAAGTATTACAATCCTTGACTTGAAGTTATATTACAAACCTACTGTTGTAAAATCAGCATGATACTAGAAAAAAAAAGAAGACTGGAAAATAAGAGGAACAGATTAAGAGATGCAAACACAACTCCAAACACAGTTACCTTATCTTTGACAAAGGTGCCAAACATGTTCATTGGAAGAAAGAGAGTCTCTTTAATAAGCAGTGCTGGAAAAACTAGCTCTCTATATGCCCAACACTGAAACTAGACCCATTCTATCACATCACTAAACTAAACTTAAAATAAATCAAAAATATAAATATTAAAACAGAAACACTCAATTTACTGGAAGAGAAAGTAGGTAGAAATTTTGAAGACATAGGTGTAGCAGATACTTCATGAATAAAACCCAAACAGCATGAAAAACACTTCAATCAACAACTGGGATCTCATCTTATTAAGAATCTTTACACATCAAAAATAATCACCAACAGGCTGGAAGGGGAACTGACAGAATGGGAAAATATTTTAACCATGTGTCCTCAGAAAAAGGACTTACATCTAAAATATATAAAGAATTGAAAAAATTCAGACCTTTCCAAGACTCAACCCAAAATTGGACCATTGAGATGAACACAAATATAAACAAAAACAACACTGAGTTTTCATCTCACCCTAATAAGAATGCCTATCCTCAAAAAATCAACGAATAACAAATGCTGGAGGGGCTGTGGGGAAAAAGGAACCCTTCTCCACAGTTCATAGTAGCATAGGCTGCTGCAGCCACTGTGGAAATCAGTATAAAGCTTCCTCAAAAACTAGGATTAGAGGTCCATTAGACCTAGCTATTCCTCTTTTAGATATTTTCATAGAAGAATTAAAAACATCATACCACAATGATATATGTGATCCATGTTTATAGCAACACAATTTGTAATAACTAAATCTTGGAAACACTCCAAATGCCCATAAACTCAGGAATGGATAAAAATAGATGTGATATTTGTATACAAAGGAGTACTACTCAGGTAAAAGAAGGATAAACTTGAGACATTTATGGGGTAATGGATACAATTTAAGACAATATTTATAGTGAAATAAATCAGACTAGTGTGTGTAAATATCTTATTGTCTCCATAGTGTAGCAACCCAAAAAGTAAATAATACAAAAAATGTATGGTAGATATTTTGAAATAGGAACGAATTGTTCAAAAGGGAAAAGGAATATATATATATATATATATATATATATATATATATATATACACAAAGTAGTTAAGATAGTTATACTACTAATTGCTAATAGTTCATTGAAAAGGCTTGTGTCTGTATTATTTCACCAATTCTTCATGCCTATAACTTGTAATATGAACACCTAGTTTGAAGATAACAATATGCATTGTACTAACCATTATTACTCTCATAAATCTTGTTTTGAAATTTTTATCATTAATATCTTAAAATTAAACTAAAAATAGTAGGGCTGAGAATATAGCTCAGCATTACAGCACTTGTATGGCATGCTTGAGGTCCTGAGTTTGGTTACCAGTACAAAAAACAAAACAAAAACATTTTTATCTTATTTTTAATTGACTTGATATTCTAGTTGACTAGAAATTAAAGCCTGAAAAATTCAGTAACCAAGATCTTCCAATCAATTTCCTTTATAGTATTATTTTCCACTCTTCTAAATTCATCTTTATACCTGACCATTGTGTCTTCTGCAGCCACTCTGGCCTTAATCAGCACTGCACTGTGCCTCTTTTTTTACCTGTCTGTCTCTAGCTCGGTTCCTGACTCTATTGTGAAGTTCACTCAGACCAACCCAACCCATCATTATCTGTATCTCCTCTGATCTCTAAAATACTCATTAATTACAGTGCTAATTTAGAACATTTCAAGTAGTCTGCATTATTTTATAACTTTTCAATTGCATTTGTACCATAGCTTATCTCTTGCAAAGAGGTCAAGATCCCCTTGATTAATCCAAATATCTTCTCTGATGCCAACTTTAGAGTTAACAATCAATGCTCCAGTATATAACTCTATTTCCAGGAATCAAAGCCCATGATTAAGAACAAAAGACTACTTTCTCTGTTCAGAAAACTTCAGCTGTGGGACCAGCCACTTCTATAAACAATGATTCCATATAAACAGAAGTGAAATATACAAGAAGAGGAGGAAGAGAGAGCACAGATCTGAAATAGGATTCCTAGTGGGCAGCCAGCATTCTCAAAATTTGCTATTGCAAGACAAAAAAGAAATGTTTTCTATCAGTGGACAATATGAATTCCATGAATGATTCCTGGAAGGCCATCTGCAGTAAGGAGCTACATTGTGAGGAATACTGAGGAGAGTAGATGAAATTATACAGAAGAGGATCCTACTGTACCTTCCAAGATGTAACATTTGAGTCCCTGAAAACATTTGTTCACTTGTAACATAGAGAAATATGAGAACCATTTACCATTAGAATTGACATATTGACAACTGTGCATAGTTGATTTTCTATCCCCATCATCCATTCTGTCATCTTCTCAGAAACTAAACTGTGATTTTATTTAGAATAGTTTTTCTCCTTTGCATGTAGATGTGGTTAGGTGAATATGGAAGCAAGCAAGTGATGAGTCTTCCAGAAAAATTGAAAAGAAACTGTATGGCCTGTTTTTGGTCTTCCTGCTTTCTAGCTCCAGAAAAGCAATCTCAGACCCTGAAATAACTTTGAGGATGGCAAAACAGGGCAGGAAGGAGCTTTAGTCTTATCTGCTGTAATAGAAATAGCATCTACCCAGGTGTTTATTATGCATGAGAGAAAAGAAATTTTGCCTTAATACTACTTTGAATTTGTTTCAAATGTAGCCAAACTTAATCCTTAAATTAATAGACACTCTTAATACTCCTGATTTTATTTGGAAAAGAAAAGAAGTTACACCAACAAACAGGAGACAGATAACACATAGTAGTCACATAAAGATATGGATGTCTCCTATCTTACGAAAGAATCAAATACAAACTGCATATGCATGTGTGTGTATGTGTGTGTGTGAAGTTGGTGGTTACACTGCTTCCTTTATCCCAAGCTGTTGAAGTTACAAACTTTACATATATATAGGAAAGGAAAAGAAGATTTTTGGTATAGTTGATATCATAGTTTTTAATGGACAAGAAGAAATCTTTAAAACAAAAATGAAACAGTCTAAATAAAAACCATTCAGGCTTAGGAATCCAGGATGAGAGATAATTTTTTAAAAGATTGCTATTCAATGGGAAAGAATAAGAGGTATCAGCTATGTGATAATCAATGTACCTCATGTTTATTTTTCAAGAGGCTTAGCTTTTCCATCACCTGTTTAGCACAAACTAGCTCACCCCATTTGCACGAGAAGTCCATGGATTGCCTCTTTTTTTGTTTGTTTGTTTGTTTGTTTTTGTTTTCATGGATTGCCTCTTACCTACAGTCTTCTTCTGGAGACAGACAGATGCATTCTGATCCTGATTGTTTTTGTCCTGGCTGACAAGAGCCCTTTAATATTGTCAGTTTATCTAAAATGAAAGGAAAGGAAATCACAATGGGCAACATGGATTTGTAGAGGTAAGATCAAACTTACAAGAAGAGGTAGTGGCCAAGGATTTTCATTTATTTCTTGGAGTTAGAATACTCATTTTGGCTTTTCCAAATACGTTTTCAGGAGATTTTCAACTTGAAATATCCTTTCCAGATCACACGTACTGCCATTATCCAGTCTAAAATTACTAAGTTCAGACTAAAGAAAATAAAACTGATGAAATTATTCTCCACTTTTTTCAAACATTTATTGAACATGTAGTTTCACTGGCACTCTGCTAGAACATTGAGTAAAATTCTGATTCTGTGCTTACAGAATTTATAGGTTTAATGTGGGGAGACAGAGTGACCAAACAAATATACTAATGTGTCTAGAATTCTTTCCATTTTTAGTACTATTAAAGAAAAGCTATATAATCAAGAAAAACGATGTATCCTAAAAGGGTAGTAGGCATGGTAAAATGGTGGGAAAGGAGGGTGATTTTTGAAGTAGAGGGAATATTGGTTTTGAAAGTGTTCAAAAAAGGGGGCAGCATGTGACTTTCTTGGAACTGAGAGTAAGCTGGCCTGGTTGATTTGCAGAAAAATCAAGGCATGTATCAGGATGCAGTATGAGAAATAAGTAACTTATAGGCTGTGCACAATTTAATAGGCTTTTCCCCTTCATATTCTAAACAGTGTAGGTGTCTTATGGGTTTAGTCAAGAAGCGATATGACAAAATCAGGTATAAATTTTGAAAAGGTAATGATTTCTGGTTTCTGAACAGAAAATAGATTTGCAGAGACATGGGAATCAAAAGAAATGTGGCAAATGATCTGTGGAGTCATTATGGTAATTCAGGCGAAAGGGATGAGGATTCGGATCAAGGTGCCAGAAGCAGAAGCAGAGAGAAGTGAATATATAACTTGAGAAGCATATAGAAATATGTAACAAACCAATGAACTACATATTTTGGTGCATTATGAGAGCCATCAGGTATGATTCCTAATTTTCTGTTTGGCATAAGATAGGAGACACTAGTGCTGTATCCAAAAGAGAAAAATACTAGACGATGCTTAGTTTTAGGGAAGGGAGGTTTATGAATCCAGAGTTTTCCAAACATGTTAAATTTATTTATTTTTCAGATTCCAAAGCAAAGCAAATACAGAGGAATTTTGACATGTATATTTAAATTTCAGTTGAGAAGTCTATAGTAAAAAAGTTAAACTTATTAGTCTAGGAGGGAGTCAATGAAGTTATGAATGTGGGTAGGGCTCCCTAGCAGGAGAGTGAAACATGAGGTGAGGGGACAGATCTGAGCCTCCAGAAACTCCAGTGTTTGATATCCTAGCATGGACAGCAGCTTGCCCCAAATGGAGGGCAACAGTCAGAGAGCTAGCAGTGGTTTCCTGAGGCATAATCACCTGGAAATCAGATTTGCTCACAAGAAGAATCAGGGGAAACATGCAACACCTGGAATTGCTGTGCAACATCCTAAGCATTTATTCTAATAAATGTTATTATATTAATAATAATAATAAATAATATTATTCTATACAGTAAGGAAGAATAGAGGAATGAGAAAGGAAAAGGAGAATGGGAGGAAGTGTATAGAGAACAAGGGAAGAAAACAACAGTCTCTTTTTCATGGATCTAAAGAATAACAGGAAAACAGCCACTAATCAAGTAGTGTAATAATCGATTTTAATGGAAGGCTGAGACAAGTATTTTGAAGATGGGGAACACGATTATAGAAGACCATATTCCAAGAAGACCTCTATTGTGAAGGGTAAAGAAAGATTAGTAAGGAAATGATGCTTGAATTCAGATGAGGAACCCAATAGTGTGTTTGTAAAGAAAGGAAATTTTAATAAGTGGGAATGCACTTGTTGCATATTACATGTAAGGAGAAATGCACTTACTTTTACCTACACTGAGACCAACCTAAAGTGCCTTTACACTGGTGGTGCAGAACTCGGAGCTGACTTCCCCCAAATGTTGGCTAGAACACATTTCATCAGTCCAGCTCTGAGCACACTGGCCCAGAATGGCCTTTGTAAGCAAGTTAATTGTCAAGGGAGCAACTAAGCAGCCACATTTAAATATTTTCACTAATAACATGGCACAGAGAGAGAGAGACTCAGATCATAGTTTCTCTTCTTAGTCTAAATGTACAAAAGAAGGTTTAATAAGGAAGGAAGAAGGCTTACTTTAGGGTGAAGATTTTAAAGATGCATAGGTTCTCTTCTTTGCTGCTATTTCCATTTCCTACTCTTAGCCACTGTTAGAACCCTCATTCCACCTGGTGAAATTTGTCTCAGAACCTTCATAAATGTGAAGATTTGAATCTCTGGTAAGTCTTCTGAGATTTACCCTGATACTAGATAAGTTCTCCTTGTTATCTTAGACAGTTAAGCTTTTTTTCCCTTTGTAAATAAATCCAAACTTAAATCAGGGAGAAGCTCCAAGCTATGCACTGTTTCTACAGAGAATCAGGTTTCAAATGGCACAGAGCATGGCTCTGTAGCTGCTGGCTAGTATACTGATCATGTATGGTGATTCTTTGTTTTTTTCCCAAATGTTGAGCTGAAGCTAATGCTGGCTCTGAGCTGCCCACAATCCCCAACCCAAGGAAACCTGGAAATAAGAACATTCTTTAGTCTTTGAAGGAATGAGAATGAGGTTTTCTGAAGTGCTGTTTTCAGAGAAAGGATTAGAGTGGAAGAAAGTAACAACAGCATCTCACTTCATCATGGGGAAAATGTTTTCACATTGAAAGAATTAATAATGTTTCTTTGGCCAATTCGTTTTTTTACTTCACCATGGCCAATTTTAATGGATGACTGTCATTTTCTTTGTCTTCCCTCATTGGTGTTTTGTTGGTATTACTGGAAATTAAGTACATGAGAGAGGAGATTTAGATTAGGTGGAGGTTGTTTTATATTTTTCATTTTGGAGTACAATTTCCATTTCTCATCTAAGGACAGAGAACTATGTGTGCATGGCATGTATGTGCATGTGTATATTCACATGTGCTCTCAGTAAGAAGATACTACCTATGGTGTCCAGAGAATCCTAACCTTATGAAGCCTACAATTTCCAAACACGTACATCCCTCTGACATTCATATTATGTATCATTTATTATTATGATTAGGAGCCTCATGAATCCAAGACATCATATCAAAGATTTTGCCAGTTCCTGTGAGAAGTCTTTCTCAGCAGGTTTACTTAAAGTTATTCTAAAGACTAATGTTCCTGTTCCTTCACACATTATGAAATCCCAAGAGGGAAGAAAGAAGCAGGATGGCAAAGAGCCTGGGAAATTAGCAGATCTGTTACTTAGCTTCTGTTCAACCCTGACTGTCCAATCCGGTGTCTGATTTAACCTCTTTGTGCCTCGGTTTTTCCATAAGCAAAATGAACATAATCATATCTGGTCTCAGATACTTCCTCAAGGTTTCTCTTTAGAACTGAGACATTGGTTGAGCAAGGATATTGAAGATTTTGAAGGCTATTGATTACTAGATACCCTCTCCACTACAGTCAATTGTCCTGTCAGATGAGCTGGAGCTCTGGTGGCCTCTGGCTGCTGGGTGCCTTACACTGATCTTTCACAGCACATGGGCCATTGCATTTTAAAGCTTCACACTATTTGCTGTCACCAGTAGACTGTTTGTTTACTAAGAGTGAGAGTTGCTTATTTTCAGATTTATTTATGCCAGTTATACTTGTTATTGTGTAAATTGATTCAGTATGTAAGCTGACAAAATAAAGGGGAGTAAATGGAATTTTAAAAATAAAAACTAAATGCAACTTTGATCACCTAATTGAAAGTGATTTTTGTGGAGGGCAGGGTCTCATTATATAGCTCAGGCTAACTTTGAACTTATTATATTGTCCAGGCTGGTCTCGAACTCACAACGATCCTCCTGCCTCAGTCTTCTGAGTACTGGAATTACAGGCATGTACCTCATGTTTGGCCAAAAGTGCTTTTTTAAAAATTGGTTTTGATTAAATTGTGAATGAGACCAAGGAAAAGCCACTTACGTTGAAAAATATATGAAAATTCAATATTGTTTTCTATTCTATTTGCTGAAAAGTATTTTTTTTTAATGTTTTCTCTTCAAGAACAATGCTTTTCTGGAAGTAGTAGGTTTACAAATTTGGAACCAACTAGGGAAATTTAGTAAGACTCTGTGCCAAAAAATAAAATGAGAAGAGCTGAGAATGTTGTTCATGGGTAGAGTGTCACTGGACCACAAAAGCAAACAAGAAAAAAAATACAGGAAAAACAGTAGTTCTCAACTTTAAGGGCACAACTGGATTGTATACACATTGTGGGGTAGTGTGTCATTTTTATCCACTGTAGAATGGTCAAATCAGATAAATAAATCTGTCTCTTCAAATATTTGTCATTCATTTGTGATGAAAACATTCAAAATCTTTTCTAGCTAGGAAACAATTTCAAACAATTACTGAACACCAAGGCTTTTATAGCTTCTGACTTCAGCATTTGAAGGACAGGGCTCAGAGAATTATTAGTTCACACCTAAATCACTAGAAATCCTTCTTTTAGAGACACTGCAACAAAGAAAACCTGAGTTTGTTTTATTCAGAAAGCATCAGAAGTTTTCTGCTTCAGGTAATAATAAAATGTCTCATCACATGTTTACTACATGTTACAACTTTCCACTTGAACCAAAAATTTCAGTTGACTATTAGTTCTGATCTTGTTGGAGAAGAAGTCTTATACTCCTAAACATTAGAGTTTTATACTGGAAGAGAAAACTGAAGTTACCCTGTAAAATTTGAAACCATCCTCTTGATTGATAACTCCTTATTTGTTGCCTAACTTCATTATCTGCACAAGACAAAATATAGCCTCTACCTTCCCTGGATTCTTCTACTTTCCACCCTGCTATTTTCAAATGAGAAACAGCATCTCCTTAGATGCGATTCTACTACAGAACCCAATTTTATTAGAATTCCCAGTCCTGAGTTGCCACTCACCTTTTTCACAGGTAAGTGAGTCTGAAATGGGTGGTGCCCACGAATTCCCTTTGCAAGTGTAGATTGATGGCCCAGTCACCACAAAGCCTTTGGGGCAAGCCAATGCAATGGATTCACCAATTCTGTATAGACTCTTAAATGGGGAGACGGTCAGTACTTCTGCCACAACTGGCTTGAGACATGCCATTCCTGCATGGGGAACAAATTTGAGATGTGTTTAGTGGAGCAAAACACCCAACAAGCCTAGGGAGATGGTATGTTATCCAAGAGGTGACCTGATTGGGATTCACAGCACTTGTTCTGCTTGGATGCCCGGTTTTAATTCAGAACCCTCAGGACTCAGGATCCTCTACTTCCTCTCGGAGATTCCTCCATGGACAACCACATTTCAGTTCTCTTATCTGAGGTTCCTTTCCTAAGGAACTGACCCCAGACATATTTAAATTCTCTAATGTCGGGGGGACGTTTTCTTTTAAGAAATAATTTTCTTTGTTCTACCTTTTGGGCTTTTCCAAAAACAAACTAAACCACTGTGATGACATAGAGACAGGATGTTCTAATTGATACTGCATTCAATTATGCCTCAGAGATTCCCACAGTAAATTTTATTTTACTGTGGTGAAGATGCACATAAGACCTACATGCTTGTTCACTGTTTTTCAGCAGATAATGTCAAGATGCTCCAAGAACTAGTGCTCTAGAGAAAATGAAATTTCATGTAAGCCCCTGTTTCTGATACATAAAGAGTGTAAACGTGATCTTCTTGGGTCTCATTGTTTCGTATCAATTTTTACACCGGGAAGGCAGATGTCTGTAGTTAGAGATTGCAGGCTTTCTGGATTTCTTCCTAACAGCATGCTTAACAGCGCTTTGTGTATGAAGCTAATGGGCAGGAGCAGAATGGAAATATGGAGATGTTTTAAATCTAATTTTAGCAAGCAAGCTCCATTTACTGCTTCACTAAATTTTTTTCTCCATAGTTACTAAAAAATAGTAAAATGTACTGATCTGAGGATGTGATTTTCCTCCATTTATATGGGGCACATTCATTCTGTAGAGCAGTAACACATAATGTTTTCCCAGTTCTCACGCTGGCATTCCACATCTCCTCGCCTCCAGGTCCTGTCTGGTAGGCATCTGAAGTACTGGTAGCCAACAGGTTTGAATCCAGTTAAGCATGAAATTTCAACTTCTTCCCCAACTTTGTACAGTGTCTTTTCATTCTAGAATTGAAACAGAAAATTGGAAAATTATTAATCATATTAATAAGCATCTCTATACATCTCAGGATCATCCTGGATTCTGCCCATTCTGACAAAATCCTCAGTACAGAGTCTTCTCAAATTCTCCTCTATACCTTCTCAAAGCTCTCTCCGCTTTCTTTGTTCATTGTATTTATCATCTCTTAGCAGGAAAAATTTCTCAATGGTCATTATTTGGATCCATTTTTCCACATTACTACTCTAAATTGACATGTTTTTTAGCTTAAAACTTGCTCCTTGCAGTATATGAGATACCCTACTCTGCTAGAATAAAAAATCTATCCACTCAACTTGTTGTATCTATTGATGTAATAATGTATGTACAGATACATTAAACAGATGCAACTGTTATTGTGGTTAACTGACTACAAATCATTGAAAAATAATACGTATTTCCTTTGGTCATCATATATTTTTCCAGTTAGTGAGATAAAAATGTGGCACACATTTCATAGTTTGAATTATAAGCTTTAATATACTTTAACATCCTCACTTACTACTATTTCTTGTCATTAAACCTATGGAACAAGGTCATCTGTCATTCATTGAACATTATACTCTCTTTCAGTGTCTCCATGTCTTTATTCTCCACAACTTCTCTTCTCCCTTCTCTCAGGACCCAGCTCAAACAGAACATCTACTATGAAAATCTCCTTGGATTTTCCAGCATCATGGGCTAATACTTTTGCAATTTTAGAAACAACTTGTACTAAATTCCATTTTTATAGTATTTATCACATTTATCAAGCCTGGAGCCTGACACTTGAGTGGCAACTCCACAATCCAATGTATGAGTTGTGATCAACATATACAATGAATGTTTACATTAAAAAAAAAAAAAACTATTGTGGTAAAAGTCACATGTCCACTTGTCCCTCTCATAATATCTCCTCTTACTTTGAGCACATTTGCCCAGTTATTCTGGTAACTTTCTGGAGCAGTTCTATAAGTTCCCTTTTCTCAGTGTCTTTACAAAGTGATAAAGCATTAGAGGAATAGCGCTGGCAAGTGTCACCCAACAGAAAGGCAGGTTCATAGAGACACTGTGTATCCTTATCCGTCTCATTCACCAGATCTAGTGCCATATGATTGCGGGCTCTTTCCCAAAGTCAAATGGACATGAAAACCAAGTGTTTGAGTTGATTCAGGACATTGAAACAGCCACGATAACATGAGAAAAGAAACCCAGAGAAGAGGACTTCCAGTACTGCTTCAGAAAATGGCAAGAATGATGGCATACATGCATTTAAAGAAAGAGGCAATTTTTTTTTATTTTAAAAACAGAACAACAACAAGCACAAAAAAAGAATAAAAATATTGATACAGAATTTCAAGGTATTTTGAGGGAGATCCATAGCAATGTGTCTTTTATTGCACATCTCCCATATATTTACACAAGACCTTAACAACTGTGCCTGTAGTGCTCTAAACACTACATTGCTGCTCTAAACTGACTATAATTTTTTAACTTAAAACTTGCTCTTCACAGCGTATGGATAGCTTACTCTGATAGAATAAAAAACATCTATGTAATGTATTATTTCCATCTGCTACACACAGACCTCGTGAATGGATGAAGAGCACGATCCTGATAAATCGGTAAGTTCTTCCCCCTCCTCCTCCCTCTATCCTCTGTGCACTCACTTATCCTTCTACCATGACACGACACAGCATCATGGCTCCCGTCATGAGCCATGTTATGATCTTCGGCTTCTCAGATATCAGAAATGTGAGCTAAGTACATTTCTATTCTTTATAAATCGTCCAGTGTTCATAAAGAACAGTATTTTGTTATAGCAGCAAAAAATGGGCTTAGACACATAATATAATTTTGTAAAGGAAGTTATAAGACTCATGAATCATTGTGTAGGACATTTGCATGTTTCTAAAATTAAAATTACACTATAGTCTTCTGCTCTATCAGCTGCGCTATCAAAAGGATCTCTTAAAATATTAATATTTTTAATGGTTTTTGTGTGCAGGTGATATAAATATTTTAAAAGTTATTTAGGTGGTTGTGCATGTAGTTTGTAATTACAGATGTAATTCTGAAGATGATATTCTAAGGCAGGGGCCAGCAATTTTTGTTACAAATGGCCTGGATAGTTAATTGCAGGTCATAAAATGCTGTTGCAATAACTTACTTCTGCTATTACTGTGTGAAAATAGCCATGGATGGTACATATATAGGAATGTACCTGTGTGCAGTAACACTTTATTTAAAATGTAGCAGACTTCATTTGACCATTAGGTTATGGTCTGCAGAATCCACCTCTAAAGGATTACTTTCCCATGTGTAACTCCTGACCTAGCAGCATCAATAGAATGTGAGAACCTGTTACAGATGGATATTTCTGAGCTTCACCCAAGACCTACTGAATTAGAAACTATGCAAACATATTCAGTGAACTGTGCTTTAACAAGCTCACCAGAACATTGGTGAGTTTGATGACCTCTATTCTAGAGTAGACTGATTGAATTATTTCCCTCTAAAATATTTTCTCCCCTTAAACTTTTAAGCATGGCATAGAAATTGTTTTTGTATCACACCTCGTAACTTTTAAACATGGGCAGAAGACAGATGAATAGGAAAGACACCTAACCCAGACTTTGGTCCAAGAGTATTTATGCGCTGGCATTTGGAACAGAGTGCTTTTCGGTCTTTGACCATAGCTATGATACATTTAATTTAAATGTTTCACTAGGTTTAAGAAATGTAAAATGAATAATAACCAGCCTTCTGTGATCAATTTTAAGTATTAGGTATCTCCTAAAAGATTTATATCTAATGCCAGAGGCATATTTGACAACAAGTATTCCATTTTTATAAAAAGCATGGAAACATTTTGTGGTTTATTGAAAAAAGATGGAATTAAAAGATACATTGTAATCATATTGTCTATTTTAGATTCTAGAGATTTGTGATCTACTAAGACAATACAGAATCAACACTTCTAGTGCTTTTAACCAAGTATAGTTTATTTCTCTGAATATATGCCTTAGATGAGGACATTGACTTGCACAGACGCAGTAATAAAGATCATAGCTATAGCTAGATCATAGTTTCAGATTCTCACAAGTAATCCAACAAGTAATCCATGTTGAAGTTGTATTCTTTATTCATACTAATATATCAACATTATATGAACTAAGTGTTCGTCTGGACTATAAATCATCTACTGCCTGTGGTCTAACAACCAGGTATGGTGACATTTCCAGAAAAGTCAAGATTAAAGCAGGCCAAAGCATTTGTAAATATCACTTTACATTCTTTATAGTAGCAAGAGATCATTAAAACAGGAAAAAAGTAACTCTAATTAGAAAAAAAATATTTTTCAATTTAGTTTTTTGAACTCCAAACCAAAAGTGAAGATCAGGATGCTTACCCAAATAAATGCATTTTCTGGAAGATCAGGCTTAGCACACCCTGAATCTGCTTCTATATCAGGAAGATCTACCTCTTTCATGTCTTCATCATCACTGATACACGGCTCACCTCTAAACGGGAAAGATAAATGTGTGACTATATTAACACGTATACGTACATGCACAATCTGTAGACACATGTATGTGTTATATACATATATATTTATTAAATAGAGAAAATAAAATACTACTTTCACAGATAAAGACAGCCGCTGACTCAATGCTTCACTAAAATGCTATGTTGGCACAGGCAAAATTCTAATTATTTCTTAACTTGGCAGTATGATGATAATAACTGTTCAAATTCTGCTCGTGGGGCAATGACTCCACCTTTCTTTTCCCCGTTACCTATTTTCCATTATTGAAAAGGTGCAGTGCTCCTCCTGCCGGTCCTCCCCCTCACAGTGTCTCCCTCCTTGTTGGGGTGCAGGGTTATTGCACACTCGGCTTCTTGATCTCTTATGCGTAGAATCGCACGCACTCCAGGAAGACCAGCAGGCCCAGTTTCCATCCACTGCATCTGGGAGAAAAGAAGACTTCCTGGCCATCAGGGAGCACGTGAGAGTTTGGGCTTTGAATCCAGGCTGACCTAGTTTTCTCACTTAGCTGTATCAGCTGTTGTGTAGAACAGTATAAGGTTATAGTAGGAATGAATGACACTACTCACGAGAGGAGTTTGAACATTACCCGATTTCTGTTTCTATTCCCAAAGACCTGAATGAAATGGTAACAATTATGAATCATTTTCATTATCAGAAATACATACATATATGTTTACATCTGTACATGCATGTACACACATATATGTATAGATATGAATGTCTTCTTTGTAGAAATATATCAAATTATTTTTAAAGGTAGAAGAAGATGTTCTCATTTCATGTCTCATCCCCTTTTAGGAGAATTTTGAATTGTGAATGTTACTTAGTCCTGTACAAAAACTTTGCTTGTGGCTTAATTTACTCCTTATTAAAAAACCATCTTCCCTTTATACTATAGTATATTAGAGATTTATAACAATAGCACCATGCTTTTTATTACAAGTTTTAGTTTATTTTAATTGATAATTACCAGGTAGTATGCCACATTAGATATTTTTATATACTACAAAACATACAAATAAATACATACATATTTTAAGCGTCAACTACATAGTGGTATTGCCTTAATTTTATGAGTGAATGATTGTGGTATAGGTTAGTTAATTTCTCCAGCATTTCGTATGTTACAATTCAGACTAACACCTGTGTTTTTCAACTTTAAAATCTCATTTTTTGAAGGTCTATTTTCCTTATGAATTTGTCCATGATGGACACTTAATAAATTTGGTTTTAATTGAACAACCTAAAAAGTCTTTTGGAGGAGGAGGATGCCTACCCAAGACAGATTACCAGCACTTACTAGATTTATAATCCGGAGACCTTCTCTCGCAGTTCTCCCCATAAGTCCCACTTTGGCACACACAGAGACATTCAGAGCCTGAAAGTGTGGGACGGCCATTATTTGGGCATGGAGCACACTGGCAAGGATCAAACTTGGCCTCATATTCTCTCAAAGCTTTCCTGAGATTGTTCCGCTTTGTCACTGCACAGGGGATGTTTCTGACCAAGTTCATGATGGGAGCAAGCTAAGAGCAGACAACAGAGAAGAGGTCCAGTCATTTTCCCTTTGTTAATATTCAGTCATCACTGAACCACCTCATTTTAGTGGAATGAGAGGTAAGGACAGGAAGAGCTCAAACTGCAAAAGAACTATGCACAATGTAGCTGAGCTACCTGTTAGCCAGTGGGGATAAACTCTCTATCAAAAGGCAGGGCACTCTACGTAGAACTCACCTCTGCAGCTATACTGAAGCAGCCAAATGTGACAATTGTTTAATTTAACTAGCATCTAGTATTTATTAAGCATCAAATGCATGCCTCAAAGTTTGGAGGTAGGGTGCCAAGAGTCAGGCAAATAATAAAATAATGGTCGGTTGAAATTTCATTAAATTTGATGCAAGCATGGAGCCAGATGAAAAAATGCAAAGAGGGGTAAAATGAATCTTTGAACTTGCCAGTAGGATGAATTACAGTAACAAATAATACAGCTAACAGCAACAAAAGCAAACCAGTACTTATCTCAATAGCATTTTAAAACATGCTAGAAATGATCATTTAGTATAACACATGATTTAAAAGACTCAAATAGGCAATTGTGTTTCCTTTTCCTGACATAATCTATATAGTTTGCTCAATACATTTTCATACTAGTTGTAAATGAGTTCTATTTTTTATAATGACTGAGCTCTTTTATCATCATTCAACTTAAATAAAGAATAACTTTTTTGGAGATCTTTTAAGATGTGATTATGCAAAACTGATTTTAAATAGCCTGTGATTGATGTCTGGGAAGTTTATTATACAAATAACAAAATCACATAAAATCAGTTTTTATGTAATTAATACAAAACTGGCAAGCTGAATGAATGATTAACAGAGAAAGGAAATCAAATGGATCTCAAATTCCATTTATTCTACAGCACTATAAATGAAGATTGAAAAGTGTTCACCAAATAAAGACTTGCAAAAAAAAAAAAACCCACAGAAACTAAATCTTTATGGTATCCATAGGGAAATGCAGATACTACTCTAGGCAACTTTGTGCAGTTTTATTCACTAATTCCCTTTTGTGGAATTTCACACATGCTATGAATTCTAAATACTCCCAGAATGCTTGTTTGAATAGAAAAGGCAGTAGATGATATACAATTTAACATTTTAAAAATAGGTATTTTGTGCATGCATCCTAAAAAGAAACATTTTCTTTGTTATCTGAGAAGAAAATTGAAAAGAAATTGCACAATGTATAATTTGTGCTGCTAGAAAACAGCTTTAGCTCTCATACCCTTGATGCTTTTTAATCTTACCTCAAAGTCAATCACAGCAGGATTTTCTTTCACTGATTCTAACCACTCAGAAAGAACTTTCTCATCTGGAATGGCGTTTCCTTTCTCCCATGCCAAAGCTGCTGCATATCCGCTCTTCCCACCTTGAACCAGGGATATGGATTTCTCCGCTTTCTGCAAAATTGAACCTTCAAGATGTTTCAAGAAAATTGCCCATTAATTTTATTGAAAATTTATATTTTGCAGAAAATTCTATATGCACAGGACAGAGAAGTAGATTGTACAGATATGTAATTCCCATATGCAAGCTAAATGGAAGAGCAAGAAAATTCATTATCATCTTATGGAGGTTAAGAACAGCAATGTTAACAGTGATAATATTACTATTTCTTAATCATATGGTATATGTCAGCAATTTACACACATATTTTTATATAATTCTCACAGGAATTCTATAAAGTAGATATGTTACACTGTGGGTACTGAAACTGAAAGTAATTTGTCCTGGAATGCTTGGTTGATAGACGTAGAACTGGGATTCACATTTCACATAGTCCTTGACTACTTTGGTCTTTGCTATTTGAGTTGCTAGCTTTTGATTTATACTAACCTAAGTCCTTAGACCCCACAATGACATAAACCACATAGCTTACGGTAGCCAGTTAAACAGCAGCCATGCCACAAACTTTCATTTGTAGATGAAAAAATGATAGAATGCTTTTAAACTTAAAGAAGGGAGAAGAATTTTAAGATCTTCCAGGAAGATAGCAGAGCAGCAACAAATCAATTTCTCCAAGATGTGAAATGCAGATGCTACAACATAGTAATGTAGGGAAGAACAAGGGAGGTGGATCCCTGAGAACCAGGAAAGATTTGAAGGGAAATTTAGAGCCACAGAGAAAAGGAGGAGACTGATCTTAATGCAGAACAAGGAGGTTGCAAACTGCACTCTTTTTCTCTCCCAGCTCACAGTATGCAAAAGATTGAATCTACAGAGATACAGTGAGGGTGGGTAATTCCAGAGGCTTCCAGGGAGAAATGTGCCTGTGGAGTGGAACAGATGATGTGAGCTTTAAAATTTTTTATCTATGTATTTTTTATTTTTTAAATTTTATTTAAGGACAAAAAGAAAAAAAAACAAAAAGGATACAAGTTACACAGAATTTCAAAAAAATATACAGTAGGGAATCACTAAATAGATTACATATTGTCATCTTAGAAATAGTTGTTCAAGTTACAACATTAAGACATAAAAAGTGGACATTCAACCAGTGAGACTGCAAACAGTTCTGTTCAATGATCCAACAAAAAACTCAGTAGTATGGTTATCTATCTTATATGCTTAAATATACATGCAGTTATATCCTTTAGAGCACTTTCTTTTCCTCTCTTTTTTACAATTACAATTACACATTTTGGGTTTTATTACTCCCACAGTTCTTATTACTTTTTTGAAGAGAATAGAACCAAATGTGACATAGCAAGACAGAGTCAGTCAAATCAAAAGGATGGACATAGTACATAATGTAAAAACAGGATACAAGGTGATCAACAATGGTTATCATAATGCCTCTTGCTATCTTAAAAAGAATTGCCTCTATCAGTTACAATAAAATTAAACAAAACAGTAAAGAACAAAACCAATAAAACCAAAACATTGGAGACATTACAGGACTTCAAAAGAAGATAATAGTCAAACCAGAATGGGCATCATAATGAATCTTATTGTTTTCACAGTTGTTGCCTATACTTGTGAACTTGGTAGTATCAAGCAAAACAGAATAGAGTAAAATCAGTCAAAACAAGATGGTGAGAGCAATACAGGGTTTTAAATCAAGTTAATAGGAAATCAAAGTGGGTTACTATAATATATCCTGCTATTTTTTATTTATTTTTTCCCTTAATTAAAAAGATAAAAATAAAAAACAAATAATAAAAAAGGAGATTGAGATAAAAGAGGACATAAAAACATAACAGCACAGGTCAGAACATAACCATTTAAGCAAAATAGTGTTTTACCATAAGATATCCCAACATAAAAGTATTTATCATAGTGTCTCTTTCCTTGAAATCTTTGAGTATAACTTAGTATACTGTAGCATCATACATATCAAGACAATGTAAAGCCATTCAAGAGAATGACAGTATTACAGGGTATTTAGAATCAACTAACAGAAAATGAACAATGGTTTCTGTATTACCTTCTTGTGTATCAAAGTTTTTGTTTATATTATCACATATAATAAAATCCAATAAGACACAACATGTTAAGATCGATGGAGACAGAAGAACAAAAGCTTGATGAGACTTCAAGATGATATTAAATCAGCAATAGCTATTATGATGTCTTGTTTTCTCCAAAATAGCTGTTCATGCCATCCAACCTTATCTGCCTCATTTCTGTTGAGCTCTTTTTCTGTCATTAGTTGTCAGTTTGTCTTCTTCATTTCACTTTCTGCTCCATTCACTGTGGCCTCTCTGCCACTGTTTTTGGAGTCTTGGTATTTTTCTTTTTTAGAATGTCCTGCAGTATTCTCTGTAGAGTTGAATTGGTGGTTGCAAATTCCCCTAGTTCCTCTTTATCCTGGAAGCACCTTGTTTCTCCATTAATTTCTAAGGACAGTTGTGCAGGATATATCAATCTTGGCTGGAGGTTATTGTCTTTCAAATATTGAATTATTTCACCCTACGCTCTTTGTGATTTGATGGTTTGTGCCGAGAAGTCAGCTGTCATTCTGATGAGTGTTCCCTTGTAAGTGATTTGTTTCTTGTCTCTGGCAGCTTTTAATATTCTGTTTTTACATTATTTCTGTAATTTTGATTATTATATGCTGGGTGTTGTTCTGTTTGGGTTGTAGGTGGCTGGGGTCTTGTATGCCTCATACATCTGAGTATCTTTAACTTTTCCCATATTAGGGAAATTCTCTTTGATTATTTCTGTGAATAGCCTTTGTAGTTCATTTGTTTGTATCCCTGCTTCTTCCTTTACATTCTTAATTCTTAAGTTATAGATCCTCTTATCACCTTCTAGCTTTTGTATTGTTACTGCCTGTTTCCTTGTTATTTTTACGAAGTTTTTCCTTTCATGCTCCCACATTATAAATCTGCCCTCCAGTTCAGATAATCTATCCTTAGTTTCTTTCAAGCTGTTATGCCAGCTTTCAATAGTTTTTAGTTTCCTGGTAATCTCTTTGAAGCTGCTTCACGTATTCTACATTTTCTCTATTTTCTCCATCAAATGATTCTGCCCTTTTTTTCTATTCTTCCATCCCACTTGTTTTTTTTCTTGGGAGGTGCTTAGCATTTATTTAACTATTCTACTTATATCTTGCTTTAATTGGTTAAATACTTCACTTGTGAACTCGTCTATGAGGTCCTGAAGATATTGCTTTATGTCTATTGGTGCTGTACCTGATATTGCATGTTTTCTGTCCTCATTCTCCTTTCCATTTACCTTTCCTGGATCAGTGTTCTCAGGATTGGGGACTGAGGACCCTTTCTTGTTGCTCCCTCTTCCCATACTTTTTGTTCCTTCCATACAAGTGTATATAGGAGGCCCAGTTTGTTTCTTTGTTGGTTACAGTTTGTTTGAGTCGTGCCGGCTAAGTGTTCCCATCCACTGCAGTGTATTAGGGAGACACAGACCTGGGCAGCCTATGCTGGGTCCTCCCCTCCATGTCATCAACCTGCTGAAGGCTTCACTGCATTAGGGTGCACTGCCAAGTGCAGGGGCCCAGTTTGGTCTAGCCTACTGGGTCTTAGTCTGCAGCATCACCCAGGAAAAGCACTTCCCACCAATCCCACTTAAGAGGGGAATATGTCACTGAAGTCACTGAAGTGTCCAGTTCCAGCTAGTCTGCCCAGTCCCAGAAAGTTCTCTGTTGGAGCCTCCTAGTCTATAGAAGGATTCCCATTCCTCTCACTCACCACAGGTCAATGCAGATCTCCCCACCAGCTATGCTCTCAATTTCAGTTCACCGATTCCCACTCTCAGAGCTTTTGTGTCTCTATCCCTGCTGTGCCAATTCAGATGCAACGGTGGTGGCAGGAAATTCAAGCCATGGTTTCCAGAGGCAGGGGTTCCAGCTTCGGCACCAATACTTCAGGTATTCCAATCTTAGCACCAGGATTGCATTTCCGATTGTTTTCTCTCAGCTTAGTTCATTCCTGGGTCGGCAGGGTATATCTCTCCCTGCTTAGTACTCCCCACACAACACCATTCCTGGAACCAAAGCTGGGAGTCTCTGTAGCTGCTGTTATCTATCTGCCATGTTCTCCTGGAAATAGATGATGTGTTCTACCACAGCTGATGAGTGGCTCCAGTCCAAGTGACTTTCATGTCCCCTGGAGAGGGAGCTTAACTGGATATCATTTTAGGGAGGGGCCAGCTGAAGCTAGGGGTCAGAGTAGCTATAGGTTAGCTTCATCTCAGGGCTCCAAGGGTTGAAATCCCACAATAATTGGGAGATGTCCAGGGTCAGGGAGCTGTGGTCAGGCTACCAAAAACATCCAGAGTGTTGTAGATTGAATGACTCAGACCCCAACCACATGATCAGCTTTGACTTTTGTGAATTTGAAAATACCAGAAACAGCACCCCACACTAACCCTGCAGAAGGTATTCTTGGATTGTCCATCACAGCTCTGGGCTCTGACTTTCTGTTATGCCACCAGCAACAGCAGCACCATCCCCTAAATTTTACTCTTTGGGACCACATAGATGAGTTCAAAAGTGAAATATTTAATCAAGTAAAGCAAGATATAAGTAGATTAATAAAAGAAATGCTAAGCACCTCTTAAGAAGACACAGATGGAAGAATGGAGGAACACAAAAAAAGGAGAGAAATGTTCAATGAAGAATATAAAGAAAATATAGAATACATGAAGCAGATTCAAAGAGACTACCAGGAAATAAAAAACTCAATTGAAAGCTGGCAAAACTGCTTGAAAGAAACTAAGGACAGACTATGAAAACTTGAAGACAGGTTTGCAATGTGTGATCATGAAAGGAAAAATTTCTTAAAAATAACAATGATACAGGCAGTAATAATACAAAAGCTAGAAGACAACAAGAGGATCTATAACTTAAGAATAAAGAATGTGACTGAAGAAGCAGGGGTAAAAACAAAGGAACTACAAGGGCTGTTCACAGAAATAATTAGGGAAAACTTTCCAAACATAGAAAAAGGAAATGATATTCAGATGTATGAAGCATACAGAACTCTAGCCACCTACAACCAAAACAGAGCCACACCCAGATATATAATAATCAGCATCTCAGAAATACAATATAAGAACAGAATATTAAAAGCCATTAGAGAAAAGAAACAGATCACTTATATTGAAACCCATCAAAATCATGGCAGACTTCTCAACACAGACCATCAAATCAAGAAGAGCTTGGAGCGAAGTATTCCAAGCCCTGAAAGAAAATAACCTCCAGCCAATATTTATGTACCCTGAAAAACTCTCTCTAGAAATTAATGGAGAGACAGATGCTTCCAAGACAAAGAGGAACTGGGGGAATTCTTGACTATCAATCTAACCCTACAGAGAACACTGAAGGACATTTTGAGAGAGAGAAAAGTAACAGGATTTCAGGAACAGTGGCAGAGAGGCCTCAATGAATGGAGCAGAAAGTGGAATGAAGGTGAAAATCAGACAACTAATGGCAGAAAAAGAGCACAACAGAAACCAAGAGAGAAGGTTGGCTATAATCTCTTATTTAGATGGCCTTGATACACTAAAAAAAAAAGAGAGAAACACAAGCAGAGTAGATCAGGAAGTAGGGTCCACTGAGATGCTCTTTATAGGAAATATAATTAACCTGGACAGAAGATCAAATATGAGAAAACAATGCTCTATGTGACAGGGAACCAGAGAGTAATAGGGGTAAATTGACCAACACCTATAGATAGGTTGGAAAGATAGGGTTTAATAGGTAAAGGAATACAACTTGAGGAATACAAGTCCAGGAGGGAGAAGGTTCGGAACCACTTAGGTAAATAGCAGGTTGCACCCCCAATCTAAAAACTGAGGGAGGTGGTAAGATACAAAAATGCACAGTACACCCTGTGGGAGTAAAGGGGAGGAATAGTCTTAAAAAAGAAGGCAAAGGATATTGTTAATAGTGTACCAGGATTTAAAACCCACATTACTTACATCACTCTTCTTAGGTAGATTATATTCTGTCCCAGTTTGTCTACTTGCACTAGATCTGAGAGCACAGACAGCCATACCCAAAATAACAGGATATAATACAGTAATCATCCTTAATTTCCTATTAACTATCTGGAGCCTTGTATAACTTATACGGTTTTACCCTGATATTAGTAAAATCTGGTTTGTTTGATTGCTGTTTGGTATCAACAGATTTTATTCAAAACTAATATGATTGATAGTATCAAGTCTGAGAGTATAAGCAACTACACTAAAGATGACGATTCACTACAATACCCATTCTGGTTTTATTATTACCTGTTTTTGAAGTTTTATACTATCTACAAAGTTTTGTTTTTATTAATATTTTCATGTACTTCTATATTCAGTTATGCTATGTCTGATGATATAGACAATTCTATTGAAGATAACAAGAGACAACACAGTAACCATTGTAGAACACCTTGTACAGTGGTTTTATATGATTTTTTCATTTCATGTTTTTATAGGAAAATGTTTTGTTTTGTCTTGCTTTGTTTTATTTCTTCTTCTAATATAGAAAGGATAGAAATAATAGAAATACATGTTGAGACTCATGCATGCATAGAACCTATAAACAGTTTACAAGAACTGATCTCACAATGCTTGATGCAATGAACAACAACTTTGAAGAAAAAGAGACACTCCAGTACCCAGTGCTGATTCTGTAGTGTCATGATGTGAAATCCAGCAATACTATTATTCTTTGCTCAGAGTGATTGTAGCCTGATTTGGTTTGTTTAATCTTAACATAAATGATGGCATGGATGACTGCATGTACGTTTAAGTGTATAGAATTGATAACCTTATTACTAAGTTTTTGTTGGATAGTTGAACAGAACTGTTTGCAGTCTCGCTGTTTGAATCCCCACTTTATATGCTTCACTTTTGTAACTCACACAACTATTTTTAAGAGGAAAATATGTAATCATCAACTAGTGATTTCTTACTGTTTATTTTTTCTTTGAAAGATGTATTATTTCTACCCTTTTTCTGTTTTGTATAGTCTTTCTTTAAATAAAATAAAAAAATAGCACACTCACATACAATATTTGATTCCTAAATTACAGGTAATGCGGGCGCATGCAGGACAAGCAAGTACCTTCATAGCTCTCAGATGTCTTGGTAGTGGTGCTGTGATGTTCTACTTTTTTTTTCGTAAAAAATACATAACGTTTCTTTGTTTCAATCCTGACAATGGTTTGGATTTCTTCCTCTGATAAACCTAGGGAACATAATACACAGAACACACTGAAAATACACAATTGAGAACTCAGAGAAGAAGAACAGGAGGTTCTGATCCTTTTTGGAGCTAAATACACTCTATTAGTCACTGTCCTATTCGGCCCCCAAAGATAGCTTTACCTGCAGATTTAGTTCTGTCCAGGCTAAAATGATCCTGAGCACAAAACGTCCCTGTGAATTCCTGACATTTTTACCTTCAGTACTGATCCTAGTAAGCCCCTATGAGACACATTACCTGGAATTGGTGTTAGCTTCTCCTTCTTCCCCTTAAAAGGCTTACATTCTGTGCCACAGTTGATTCTGTGAGACCTACATCTGCTTTACCAACACCCAAAAGGTAGCCTGTGGCCATCTCTCCTTCCCCAGGAACACAAGTTCTGATCCCTCTTTGCCTCCTTTCCTGGACTCAGCTGCTTCCTCTGTCCCTAACTTCAAACTCTTTTTATTTTAATTTCAGAAATGTTAACTTCTTTAAAGACATGTGGGCAATATGTCATGTGCAATTCTCACATAACTCATAAATACCAGTTGCTAACCCTGCAACAGCAATAAGAAAGAAATTCTGACGTCCTGATCTATTAATCTTTCTGCTTCTTTGCTGTTCTATCCCTTATTTGAACTCAAACCTTGTTGATTCTGATTCTCTGGTGTTTGGTGGAGGTTGGTGCAGCATCATTTCCATCCCTTCAACTGGGGTAGTTGGGATTGACACTTTTCTGGGTGCCCAGTACCAACATCTCCTGGGCTACTGGTCTATTGTCTAAGCCCAGATCCTCTGAGGCTCAGGCCATGCTGCTAGGATACCTTTAGTGCTCATTGCTTGTGTCCTTTTCCAAACTTTGTGTTACCATTGGTTGAAGATTTTGACATCTGAGTCATTTTAGGCACAATTCCTATATTCATTCTCAGTGACCTTAAATTCTCTTTGGAACACAGTGCAGGAAAATAGAGCCAGCACATTGATAGGCTTAGTTGCTACTACCTATCTGGGGCAGTTTGACAGGAATACATGTATAATTGTTATGAAGAACTCTCCAAGCCACCTGATTCACTGCCAGAAGCTTTAAAATTAAAGTCCAGTTTTTTTGACAGTTGATGGAAGTTTCTTCTTATAAGAACACATGAGAGATATAGTTGTTTGCATCAGTGCTTATGCTCTTAAAGCAATCTACTTTATTATACACTGATATTTAAGTGGCAGGTTCCAATAGGCAGGGCAGAATATTTTCAGAATTTGAGGGACTGATCAGGTGTGAGGTTGAAGCTGAGACCAGAACACTGAGAAATTAGGCTAGTAAGTGTGAGTTGGATGTGCCTTCTTTACTTTTTAAAAAGGTTGTATTGTGATTGAAGAGATGTATTGTTGGTTAGAAATAAAAAACCCTCATGTTTACCTTGCAGCTTATCTTCTAACAAAAAGATAGCTGTGCTAGTTTGCTTAAATAAATACGCTTTATTTTCTTGTGATACCATTATTTTTATAAGTGGCCAGTCAAATTTTTCAGCCATGCTAGGAATTTAATGCATGTATAGTACATGACTCCTTTTCTGATTCTTTCATTAGGTTTTACTAATTGTAAGTGAAAATTAAATTTCATGTGACAATTGTGTATGAATATAATTTCTTTTTTGAGGGCTATATGCAAACCTTTAAAGACCTGAAAGATGAATCTTTCTTGTGGAACTGGCCATCTGGTGATTAATATATCATGGTTTCATCAACATGTTTTGGAAAAACCTTTTTCCTTTCTTAGTACGTATCTTGGCTACTTTTCTCTTGATGGGACAAAATACCCAACACCCAAAATGAATGAAGGAAAGGTTTATTTTGCTCATTGTTTGTGGAGGTTTCAGTTCATAAGCTGGCTTAAAGGTAAGGTGGCATGGTTCTGGGGCCACAATTCAAGGCAGGCAGCAAGAGCAGCCAGAGCAAAAGGGAGAAAGAGCAAGCACCTTTTCCTCCCTTGTATTGCATATAGTCCCCGCCCCCCACCAGTCTCCAGGGCCTGTGCAGCACTCACAAAATCTCTTTGACCTCTTCTTGCACAGTATGAAGATGTTTGCAAAGTATGAAGTGTGGCTCCCTGCTGAGTCTCTTAACTTAAACTTCTAAACTTCTCAATTTGAAACAATGCATTAACGTAGTAGTACATTATGTTACTTGCTCCCTAGCCTCACAGTAACTGCAAGGCCGCTTGAAGCTGTGGTGCCTGATCACTTAAACCTGTGTCCTTCTGCTGTGGGGTATTTCAATAATGTCCTTCCTTCCAGTCGCTTAGCAAGTCGATAGCGTGAGTCACAATATCACACCAATAAATGATGCAGTGACTAGTTTTTCAACCCAAATTCAGAGCAAAACATGACTTTTCAACAAAAGTTTAAATTACTACCATTCATAGTGTAATATTTTAATTGCTCAGTGTTTTCAGTATATTTTTGACATTCTTTTAATCTTGCACTTTGAAACAATGTCAACTTTTATCCAAGGTTTTAAACCTGCTGTCGGATACTGAACAATAGTGGAATAAATCAAGGGATACAAACAAAAAGCAATTTAATTTTTTCTTCTCGAAGGAAGGTATTATAAAATATTCAAATTATTTTTTAAAAAAATTCTGACAAGATACATAATACATTGCAAAACTCGTAACAAAAATGAAAATATGTACTCTAGTATTATCTTATGTCTAAGTAAAGAGAAAAAGAAAGAGAAGAGACCAGAATATATGTGCATCTAGAGAATAAGCCAAACAGGGAAGGTCACTCATAGGAGAAATCCATTCTATTGTGATTGTTTCTGTCTGAATATGCTTCATTTTGATGATTAAAACTATTTTTATAACCAGTACATAATATTATTACTATTATTGTGGCTCAGAGAATATATACTTACTGAACATAAGGTTACTCTATTGTTGAAAATAATATGCACATATAAATTGTACAAATATGTACTTTAAATACTATACTTCTTGTGCAAATATAGTGTGTTTCTACTATAAGTGTATATGTACATTTCCAGTTTTCTGTTGCATCTCATATTCCCTTCCTCCCATTTATCTATCTTTTATCTATGACATCACAATGAATTGCTCATAAACTTAGAATCATTTTTTCTTTTATACATATACATTTTCAATCTTTACCTTTATAGACAAAGAGAGAGAGGGTGAGAATATTTTTGTAGAAATATATTGCTCATCACTCCATTTTTCCTTACTGGAATTCAACTGTTGAATCATTGATGTTAGATAGTTGATTAAAGATTCACACAGTTCTTTTAGATTTTGGCTAAATGCATGATGAATATACACATCAAGTGGAAAATTATTTTCTGGGCTGCTTTGACAGTGACCAGAATAATTTCATCGGATAAGTAAGGTGAAGCCAAGTAAAGAAGCGAGGATTTCTACCAACTATGTTTGATAAGTGCGAATACAGATGCTATTTTCAGTAGAAGACATTTGCTTCATCATTCAAGCATTGGTCTAATAGAAATGATAAACTGAGTGAATATAAGGGGCAGACAGTGTGGAAGCAATCATAGCATAAAGTTTTTGTAATTTAGTAAATATGTCAGGTTAAAAATATACAACTTCAGACTTTCTTACTGAACATCTTTCTGAAAGGTATTCATCCGTCCTCTTTCTTAGGGTGGTGATCAGGAGGGAAATGTGCTCCTTAAGACCTGGAGGGACTCCTCAGCTGAAGGAAACAGTGTTTCCCACAGTGAACTGTAAGAAGAGAAGCGTTAAAACTGAACTGGCTCTAGGGATGACCTGAGGCTGTGTTTTTAAATCAATTCCTGTTTACTTTTATATAACAGTTTAATGATGAAAAATTCTGATTTATTTGGGTAATAATTCTGATTTATTTGATGAGTTAATTCTGGCTACTCTTCAGTTTCCTAATTTTGCTCTCAAGAGACACTAATAAATGATGCCAACTCTTAATTCATTTCTTACAGGAGCTTGAAAACAATTTTCTCCAAAGGTGCTATCATGATAATTAATATCAACAATTTAAGATGAATACTTAGGGCAGAAGGTGTTTGGTTTATGTTATTTTATAGGTAAGCAGAAAAATGTCTGTTCTATACTTTACAATATAAAGTTGTAAGGTTTCCTCAAGTAAAAGTGTTTCATGCTCAGCCTCATGCTTTGTAACTAGTCGTAACATGCATAATTGGCTCATATTAGCCCTTATCAATTCCCTATATTCTTTTACCTTATGCCTTGACTTTTTAAAAATTACTGAGAGAAAATTATTGCTATTGGATTTTCTATAAATCATTGCTGTATAAAACTGTCTCACATGAAATTTCTATAAGTAAATTATCTTTGAGAACTTAGTTCTAGGACAGACTTTTTCTTGATGTATTTGCTTTCATCTTATTTTTTTAGGTAACCACCATAGTATGGCTTATTACTTTCCTTGATGCTGCAAAACTCATAGATAAATGACTTCAAATCACAGAGATTAAGCATATTCATTTTTTCTTTGTTGGGCTCTACTTTTCTATTTCATTTTTTATTTATTTGAGCATTTGTGCTTTTGAGTATTCTTTATTACCACTTGAAAATGAAGCAGATTTAATTTAAAACCCAGAAAAAAAATGATTAAAATCATAGAGGAGGAGAAAAAATGTATTGCATGCTATTATACCAACATAAAAAGCAAAGGTTGAAGAAAATATACCTGACTTCTTTAACTCTTCACTACTATACTGGTACAGAAGATCATATATTCCTCCCAGGGATCCAGAAGTAAAGTAGTGAGTTCCAAAGTCCTCAAATATTTGGCTGTACAAAGCAAAGTTGTATTCTAAAGGCAGGTGGTTAAGTGCTTTCAAAAAGACATCAGAGAGATGCAGATCCTTAGATTTCATTGTGAAGTTTAAAACTTTTATCACTTTATGGATTCTAACAAAACTAGAATCCTAAATGAAAGAAGCAAAATAGAAGAGGGGAAGGGAGAAAAGGAGAGAGAGAGAGAGAGAGAGACAATTAAAGGTAAATAAAGGCTAGCAGTACCAAACATTTAAATGTCATCAGTACATGCTTAGCTTAGATCCTGCTGTAGTATGAAAATAATTTTAACTCTATTGCATATTCTCACATACAAAATTGTGGTTTTCATTTCATGCTCCACACCTCTTCATGAGATGTTCAAAATGCTAAATAGGTATGATGAACTCAATAATATAGATTGACCAAGAAATAGATTCTCTGTCAAAAGGGATAAACAACCAGAAAAATCAGTCCTTTTTTATTGATTACCTATTGTGGTTGCATTTTTACTGACTTTTTTGTTTGTTTTTAGAATGTTCTGCTAATGTAAATAATCAAAAACAGATTGTCTACAAATTCAACTTGAAATCTTGCAACAGGGATTCAATTTGTAGCTTTGTCACTAACAGGAGAAGGCATTTATATTCTGTAGGCTTCAGTGGTTCAGTAATAAGACGAGGGCTACAACATTCACACCCCGTTTCAAAGCCAAATGCTGTGATTCTAAATTAGAGAGTGAGGTTAAAATTATTTATATGCTTTGTCCTCCACCTACGTATGGAAACATAGGAGATGTTTTTGTTTCTTTGCAATCTATTTTTTGTTTAATCATTTCTAGTTAGGTCAGGTCTTTTAGGATTATATGGTTGATATTACACTTAAAATATTATCTCTTTCAATTGTTCCATACAGACACTGGAGTTTGAGTATTCTGAGTATACAATTAAAAACATTTTTATTCAATTTTAACAGATTTTAGCAATTGAGTAATAGTAACATTGAGGACTATGTTTCAGCAAAATAACTTTATTATAACTACTAATTATTAACAACCACTTTCCTATATCCTATAATTATAACACTAAATGAGTGCTTAAACACAAAAAATTTGCAAAGATCAAAAAGGGTTATAATTCACTCTCTTCTTTTTTCTCCCCCTCTCTCCCCTTTTCTTCTTCTTCTCCTCCTGTCCTTTTCTCTCTCTCCTCTCTGTCTCTCTTTCTCTTTACTTTATTATATTCTGTTCATTCACTACTAAACTATCTCAGGTTCTATGAATACAGAAATGAAAAAATAAACAATATTTATGCCTTTGTTTAGCCTAAATTTTAATAGTGCCCATTAATTCTGTCTTTAATGCTTGAATTTTGTCATAGAAATATAGCTTTTGAAAACTAGAGGTCCCTTTTAGTAAGAAGCACATGTACTTCCTCAATATCTGTAATGCCTGTTTTGGAAGATTCAGCATTTCCAGATTTGCTGAAAACTCACGAAAAATGCAAGTTAAGTTTGTATGTCACCTGAGCATGGTGGTGTACTCCCAGCACTCAGAAGACTGAGGCCGGAGGATTGCTGTAAGTTTGAGAGCAGCCCGGGTTCCATAAGGAAGTTCAAGGTCAGTCTGCACTATATAATGAGACCCTGCCTCAAAAAATTTTTTTTGTTTGTATTTCAAACAAGCACAAGCACTAGCAGTCATGGTATTCTACTTGGCAGATGATGGCTGAAGCTGGTTTAGACTAAAGTGTCATACTAAAGTAGGGTATAATCCATGTATAACCCATTTCATTGATTTCTGCAACCTTGCTGTATTTGAACCATAGTGTTTTATTTTTCGTTTTGTAAAATAAATTTTAAAAACTCTGAATCTTACAGCTCTGATATTTTGTTTTTATACTGACTCCAAAACTGACCAGTCAAACCTGTGTGTGACAAAATAAATACAGCACTCCACTCTATTGTACACCACTAGCTTGGATTAATTTTTGAGTTGGTAGTTTGTTGTTTTCATTAGCTGAGGAGTTAGACAAAGGGAAGATACAATAGAATTTGAGACTGGGGCTTTCTTATTCTATTCAGCTCTTATAAAATCAATCATGATATTAGGTTGAATCGCATAAGGATGACAATTTTGTAAGTAAAAAATTATTCAATAGCAATAATTTCATGATCCAACTTGATAGTGAGACCAATCCTAAAGGTTTTCACTTTGAGAAAAACTGTTATGGAATAAACAACAGCTCCTTATCTACAAAAGGGTTTCACGCATGTCTTGCAGCATTTATAAATCAATTATTTGGCTTCAGTCTCCTCCTTATACTTTCTCCTCTCTGGTTTTGATTCAGAGCTCATTCTTCTCTTTCATTATTTAGAAAGAAAAAATTACGAAAGTGATATTTGTATTGAAGAATATATACCACAGAGTTTGAAAGTGTGTAAAAATTTCCAAAAGAAATATTTCCCTAAAGCATTTTAGAGTTGTAGAACATATGTGGGAAAAGAAACGCAAATAATAAGAGGAAAAGAAACAGAAGAAGAAAGATTAACAAATGAAGTTATAACTTTTCACAAAATTTCTGGCAAGATAAATGAGAAAAATACAATACTGAAAATCCTTTAGGGGTTTGCTAAGTATTTATCTGAAAAATTATTGTAAGTTTACAGCCAGATAAAATTTTTACAAGAAAATTATTGTACATTTCCAGAAAATCAATTTTTCTCTGAAATTAGAAGACAGAAGAATATCATCTACTGTGAAGAAAATAGACTGTAATGTAGTCTTTAACTTTATTATTCAGTGAAAGGCAAGCAAATCTGGATATGCAAGGATTTAGGAAATTTTACTTATATATACCTTCCCTGAGGAAAACAAAAAATGTCAACTGAGAGAAAATATAGATATCAAAAACAGGAAGATTATAAGAAGAAGGTGGTGATACACATATAAAATATAAAACTAATGTAAAAATGGATAATTAACATGGAAGTTATAAATGTTATATGAAGAATCCTTAAATAAGGACAATAAATCAAAATGAAATACAAATCAACATATATTACATAAAAACAAAAGCAAAATAATTCCTAGCAATAGATAATGTTTCTTAGTTATTTCACTAAATCTGGAAAAGCCTATGAACAGAGAAACAAATATATTCTCCAAAAAAGTGTTTGTTGCATGTATAGCAGGTAAGTAAAACAAGGGAAAGATATAAACATGAAAAATATGGGAAATACAAGGATATAAAAGAAACAGTGTTTTTTAAAAAAAAATATTTAAAAGAGAGTAAAGGGGCCTAACTGGGCCATGCCCAGTGACCTCCAAGCAGCCAGCAGGGGCCTAAATTCAGTCCCAGGTGCTTACTTGTGTGAATTGATTCCCAGTGCACTGGGAAAGATTTGGAAAGTTGCTCCCAGCCAGTAAGACCATGCTCAGTGTCCCAAATCACCTGAGGACACACAGAAGGGCACTGCAAGCATAACTGGGCCTGCCCCCAAAATTCCAAGTGGATAGAAGTTTCCTGCAGTCTGCCCCTAAAGCCAAAAGTGGGCCACATGATGGCCAGGACATAGGGGTAGCTTTGGAACATCACTCAAAACCTGGAAATATAGGAAAACGACAAAATGAAAGCACAAAATGCAATCCCAAACTCCCAGCCCATCCCAAGCAAGACGAGGAGACACGGACATAGAAGAAATTGTAATCCATACACCTGAAATTCATGAAATGATAACAACTGAAATAAAGCAATAACACTGGGAAGCTATAAAGGAATTCAGAACAAAAATAATCTGCCAGGTAAAAGAAGAAATGATAAATGCAATGAAAGAAATGCTGAACATATCTAAAAGACATAGTTAAAAAATCAGAAGAACGATGCAGTAAGATCGGAAACTCTGAATGAAAATTATAAGAAACAAATAGAATTCATGATGCAGATTTAAAGACATAAATGGGAAATCAAAAAAATTCCATTGAAAGTTAGCAAAACCACCTCAATAAAAGTGAAGATAGAACACCAGACCTTGAACCAAGATTGCAGCTAGTAAACAGGACAGGAAAGATCTTTTAAAAATAACAGGGAATCAGGAAATAACAATTCAACAGCTGCAAGATGATGCAAAGTAAAACATCATAAGATAGATAGGTATAAATGAAAAAGAAGAGCACAATACATATGATATCCAAAGGCTATTTACAGAAGTAATAGCTGAAAATTTCCCAAACATGAGAATGGAAACTGACATACAGATCAATGGAGTCAAGAGAACTCCAAATAACCGTAATCAAAATAAAACTGTACCCAGAAATATAATAATTAACTTCCCAGAAATCCAACATAAGAACAGAATATTAAAATATCTGTCTCTAGAAGAGAGAAGAGACAGATAACCTATAAAGGAAAACCTATCAGAATCACAGCAAACTTCTCAACACAAACAATGAAGTCAAGAAGAGCACGTAATGAAGTATTTCAGATCCTAAAGGAAAACAGCTTTCAACCTGGTGTACCCTGCAAAACTACCCTTCAAAATGGATGGGGAAACAAGATACTTCCATGACAAAGAACAGCTGAAGAACTTTTATGGCCATGAAACTCACCCTACAAAGAATACTGAAAGACATTAGGGAAAAAAAAAACCCACTAAGCAAGGCAAACAGCTGAACAGAATGGAAAGGTAAAGAATCAAGAGCAGAGAGAGAACATGTCAAAAGTGAACCAATATATGTCAGTTATAACCATTAATTTAAATGGTCTCAATTCACCAATTGAAAGAAACAGACTGGCAGAATCGATCATCTAATCCAAACCCATCTAATCCAAAAGAAAACTCATAGACTGAAAGTCAAAGAATGGACAACAATACTGCATGCAACAGTATCCCCAAAAGAGCATAGGTAGCTATTCTGTTTGCAGACAATGTGAACTTCAAACTAAGAATGACCTAACCACAGAGATAAACAAAGTCACTACATACTAGATAGGGGAAAACTCCAAGAGGAAGAGATAACAGCCTTAAATAAATAAACACCAAATTCAGGAGCATCCGGATATGCAAAATAGATATTAACAAAAATGAAAAATCAAGCAACAACACAATTATAACAGGAGACCTCAACACACCATTGATACAAAGGAACAGATCAACTAGACAAAAAATCAGGAAAGAAATAATAGAACTGAATCACACCTCTGAACAAATGGACTTGGTGGATGCATACAGAGTGTTGCACCCAACAACATCAGAATATACATTCTTCTCAGCAGCACATGGCACATTCTCTAAAATAGACCATATACTAACCCACAGAACATGCTTAAGTAAATGCAAAAGAACTGAAATTATCTCGTGAATATTATCAGATCATAGCACCATGAAACTAGAAATTAATGACAAAAGAATCTGCAAAGCCCACACAAACGCATGTAAATTGAATAATACACTCCTGAGCAATCAGTGTCAGAGAGGAAATTAAGAAATTAAACAATATCTACAAATAAACAAAAATACAAATACATCTTACCAGAACCTGGGGACACAATGAAAGCATTTCTCAGAGGAAAGTTTATTGCAGTGAATTTCTACATCATGAAAACAGAATGAACACAAATAAAGAAAACCTCTATTGTCATAGGCTTGATGACATGGAGGAAATGGATAGATTCCTAGAAACATATGAATTACCAAAGCTGGGGCAAGAAGATATGAAACTGCTGAATAACTCAATTTCAATTAACAAATTGAAAATGTAATTAATTCCTTATCAACAAAGAAAAGCGCAGGTCTAGACAGATTCACTGTGGAATTCTACAAGAAATTCAAAGAAGACTTAATGCCAACACCCCTCAAATGTTTCAATGAAATTGAAAGGGAGCAATTCTTCCTAATTCTCTCCTGGAAGCAAATATTACTCTAGTACAAAAACCTGAGAAAGACCCAACCAAAAAAGAGAACTACAGGACAATCTCCCTAATGAATATAGATGCAAAAATTCTCAACAAAATATTGACAAACAGCATACAGCAAATCATCGAGAAGATTATACACCATGACCAGGTGGGATGCAGTCCAACAATGCAGGGATGTCTCAACATGTTTCAAATCATTGAATGTAATCGACCATATCAATAGAGCCAAGAATAAGAACCACATGATCGTTTCTATAGATGCAGAAAAGGCTTTTGATAAGGTCCAACACTTATTCATGATAAGAACATTACAGAAAATTCGAATAGATAGCCTTTACATCAATATGATAAAAACCATCTATGACAAACCAACAGCCAGCATCATATTAAATGGCAAAAAACTGAAAGCCTTTACTCTAAAATCAGGAACAAGACAAGGATGTCCATTATCACTACTCCTATTCAATATAGTGCTGGAAATACTAGCCAGAACAATTAGAAAAGAGAGAGAAATGAAAGGAGTAAGGATAGGAAAAGAATTAAATTATTATTTGCAGATGACATGATTCTCTACATAGAAGACCCCCAAAACTTCATTGAAAGACTAGGTATAGTAAGTAAATTTAGTAAGGTACCAGGATACAAAGTCGACACTCAAAATTCAATAGCATTCCTATACACCAACAACAAAATCACGGAGAGAGAAAGAAGAGAAGCCACACTCTTTGCAATAGCATCCAAAAAATGAAATACTTAGAAATCAATCTAACAAAGAAGTAAAAATCTATTCAAGGAAAATTATAAAACCCTGAAAAATAAATTGAAAAGGACCTCAGAAAATGGAAAGACATCCCTTGCTCATGGATAGGTAGAATAAACATTGTGAAAATGGCCATTCTCCCAAAATTTTTATACTGATTTAATGCAGTCCCAATAAAAATACCACTAGCATATCTCACAAATCTAGAGAAATCACTTCTAAAAGTAATCTGCAACCAGAATACCAAAGGCAATTCTGAGCAACAAAGGCAAGGCAGGAGGCATCACAATCCCTGACTTGAAGTTATACTACAAAGCTACTGTAGTAAAATCAGCATGGTACTGGAATAAAAAAGACCTGAAGATCAATGGAGTAGATTAGAAGATACAACTACAACTACAAACACACTTAGCCACCTTAGCTTTGATAAAGGGCCAAACACATCCACTGGAAGAAAGATAGTCTCTTTAATAAATGGTGCTGGAAAAATTAGCTCTCCATATGCCAAAAACTAAAACTTGACCCATGACTATCACCATGTACTAAAAATCTAAGTAGATCAAAGATATAAGTATTAAAACAGAAACACTAAATCCGTTGGAAGTCAAAGTAAGTAGAAATCACGAAGACATAGAGGTAGGTAGAGAATTCATGAACCAGACTAAAACCATATGGGAAATACTTCACAGAATCAATAACTGGGATCATGTTCTATTAAATAGTTTTTTCAGGTCAAAAGAACTCTCCAGCATAGTGAAAAGAAAACCACAAATTGGGAAAAAAATCTTAGTGAACTGTCCCTCAGACAAAGGACTTCTGTCCAGTACATATAAAGAATTTTTAAAAATCAGATCCCTGAAATTCAAAGACCCATTACAAATATGGACCTCTTGGGTGAATACAGAGTTCACAGATAAAGAAATACAAATGGCAAATTAATACATGAAACAATGTTCCGCATCATTGGTCATTAGAGAAATGCAAATTAAAACCACACTGAGATTTCATCTCACTCCAGAAAGAATGAACAGCATAAAGAAAACTACCAACAACAAATGCTGGAGAAGTAAAAGCAACACTTCTGCACTGTTGGTGGGAGTGCAGACTGGTACAACCACTGTGGAAGTCAGTTTGGAGGTTCCTCAAAAATCTGGGATTGGCAGTCCGATTTGACCCAGCTATTCCACTTCTGAGCATATTCCCAGAAGAACTAAAACATCATACCACAGTGATATATGGGCACATATGTTTATAGCAGCACAATTTGTAATAGCCAGATCCTGGAAACAACCTAAATGCCCATCAACTGAAAATGGATAAAAAGATGTGGTATTTTTATACAGTGGAGTTCTACTCAGCTATAAAGAATGATCACATTGAGATATTTATAAGTAAATGTATGCAACTTGAGACCATACTCATAAGTGAAATAAATCAAACTCGCATGGTAAATATCATATCATCTCCCTAGTGTAAGAAATGTTAAGAGTACATAAGATACAAAAAACTCAGTAAATACAGTGAAAGGAGAAGAATCTGCTTAAAGGGAAAAATAATCTCTCTGGGAAAATGAGGAAAAATAAAAAGTAAGGGAAAAGAAAAAGTATCTAAAATTATATAAACACACAGGATAGCTAAGATAATTGTGCTACAAATTCTGTAAGTTCTTGGAACACAAAGTTAACATTGATCGGATTGTAGCAATTGTGCATATTATTGTATGGTGATGAGAAACTCTTGAAGATCATTATGTAAAACAACAACCCCAGTTACGCTCTTACCACCTTGTTTTGAAGACCCGAATTGTCAGTGTTTTGGGATCTTTGCCATTGCTATTTATTTGTCTTTTTTTGGTTCCTGTTTTTCTAGAAATTTGTTTAGAAATTTGTTTTCTCTCTAATACAGAAAGGATAGGTATAATGTAGAGACTCATACATGAATAGATCTTCTCCTCAACAGTTTATGAGAACTGATTATATAATGCATGATGAAATGAACAGCTACTTTGAAGAAAAAGAGACATTATGGTACCCAGTGCTGATTCCATAGTCTCATGCTATGAAATCCAGCAGTACTATTATTCTTTTCTCAGAGTGATTTTAGTCTGTTTTGTATTGCTTAGTTTCAACATACATGAAGGTATGGAGAGCTGTTTTAAAGAGAATGAGAGATATTATGACAGTCATAATGCCTAAAATGCCTTCATAATCCTATTCTGATCAGTTTAATACTATTTTTTTGTATGAATTCATTGTGTGTGGAGATATAGAAAACTATTTAGAAGAAACAAGAGAAAATATGATTGGGAAGTTCTCTTGTTTTGCTTTGAAATCTGTGTCTCTTTCATTGTTTTCTTCTACTCTGTTTTGTTCTGTGCTGTTATGTTTAATTTTACTCTCTTTAAAATACAATTTAAAAGAATAAAGAAAAGAGTAGTACAAAACAAAACAAAAAGAATAAAGCAGATTGGAAGAAAACAATACAAGCAGCACAGGATTTCAAACAAGACAACAGGAAATCAACTGTGGCAACCACAGTGTCTCCTGTTCTCCCTGAAATAGTTCTTAACTTCACACACAATGCATTCAAACAAATCAAAACAGTATCAAAGTGATCAAATCAAAAGAATGAAAGCTTTACTGGCCTTCAAAACCAAACAATAGGAAAATCAACAATGGTTACTATAATATCTCTTCAAAAACCAGTATTTTGCAATGAGTAAGAAAAATAAAAGATGGAAGGAACACATGCAATCTTACAATGAGTACATCAAACATAACTTGGCTAAATTTCCTTAGCAAAGGCCAGAGACTCAGGTTTCATAAAATGCAATATTCTATTATATGCTGTTTATAAGAAACATTTATAGCACAATAACAAATGAAAATAAAGAGAACACAAGAAAAAGTACATGGAATATTATTATACATTATTACCTGTACAACTTTTAAAGTCGATCTAATTTAAAAAGTAAGTGAATTTAACAGTGTTGTTAAGAAATCCCATCAATATGGTATCAATACTTTCCTCTTCTAAATGCATTGCTTCAACTGGCATTAAATTTCAAAGAAGAATAAAAAGATCAAATATTGTTTTTATTACCTTTTTATAGGAGGCCCGAATAGCTTCTTTGAAGGATGACTTATGTTGAATATTTTTATTTTTTTTTGAGGAATAAAAAATTGGTACATGAAAATTATCTCTCTCTATACCAAATGATGAGGATTTTTTATCTTCTTTCTTTTCAAAAGATATTAAATCTTTGTAGAAATCTGTTTCCAAATCATCTGCTTCAGTTTGTACCTAGGAAAAACTCCATATGAAATAAAACAATGTAGCACATATCAGAGCTATTTGTAAATATCTACTACAATGACCATTCATTCATTTGTGTACTCAAGTGTTTGTTGAAAACATACATTGTTAAAGAACAAGGAATAATATTAGTTCCTGCAATTACCAGTTGCTAATCAATTTGGTGAGGACAAAATAGCTACACTCAATTCAGTGTGTTAAGTTCTATTCTGCCAATGGGAACCAACAGATACAAATTCAGAGAGGCAATATCAGGAGAGGCTCCCTGAAGGAAAAGGCGCCTAAGTGGAGATTTAAATAGATGATAATTAATGAGAGCTATTTTTGGTCTGCTTATGATTTTGATGTAGCACAGGATCTAATCTAAGATAGCTGAGAAAACTAATGTCTACCAACAGGGGAAGAGTTTCTGTCTGATCCTGCCTTAGTTTCATCTCCATCTCCTTTGCCAAATTGAGATGTAGGTGTGCGCACTCTACTGACTGTCTCTGACGGGAGAAGTACAGTGTAATGCTTTTGCCTGTGGGTGATTAATCGTCTTCATTGGCTCTATTTGGGAAATAGAGAAAAAGGGCAAGTGATACGAAACTCTTGAGTTGAGAATAGAACAGGATATTTACCAAGAAAAAGTAAATCCCTGTTATGAAAAGAAAAGGATAATGTTAAGAAAAGGACAATGGATTAATCTTAAAATATTAAAAGCTAACTGGACTAATTTTTTTATTTTACAGATATTTCTCTGAAATGCAATGGAAGAACCCTCTTCTTATTTTAATATACTCAATATTGAAATGCACTGAGAGACAAATCGCCTGTCATTGTGAAATAGCTACAAAATTAGCCAAGGAAAGAAAAAATAACTCAGCTTCAGAGGGCCATTGCTCAACATTAAAATATAGCAAAAAGTTCAGTGTTACTTTTGGATATTGCAGTGCATGCTTTATAGTATTTAAAATATACACAAAATGAAGCTTTTAGTTAAAAATAATAAAACCATATCTATCTGTCTATCTATAACTTAATCTATAATATCCATGTTTCTTTATTGTTTCTTTAAACAAGGAACAGCTTTCCACTTTCTGATATTTTCCTCAATCTTTTTTTAGAAACTAAAACTTCTTTACTTTTTAAAATTTTATTTTATAGAAAAAAGGTAAAGCAAAATTTCATAACAAAATAGTAGAAGAATAACAATAGTTAATACATTACATGTTGTTATCTTTAAAGTAATTTCTCAGGGAACAAGATATGGACATAAAGATTTCTCCAATTAATATTAACCCAAACCTTCCTTTTTAATGAGCAAAGAGATATTAATAGCATAACTGACTTTGTGTTTTTCCTTACAATCCTTCCCATTTCACACACTCCAGTTCCTTTTTCTTTTGAACAATTTCTTCTATTTCACAGTATCTAGTGTACGTTTTATACTTTCTTTAATCTTTCAGTTGCTCATACCATGTAGACAATATAACATTTGCACACGTGAGATTGATTTGTTTCGCTTATGAGCATGGTCTCAATTTGTATCCATTTACCTTTAAAAATCTCAAGTTTATTCTTCTTTATGGCTGAATAGGACTCTATTATATAAAAATACCACACCATTTTTATCCATTCCATGATTGATGGACATTTAGGTTGTTTCCAAGATTTAGCTATTATAAACTGTGCTGCTATGAACATGAGTGCACATTTATTGCTCTTGTATGATGTTTCTAATTCTTCTGGTAAGATAACAAAAAGGCAATAGCTGAATTGAATGGGATCTTCAGTCCTAGTTTTTTGACAAATCCCTATAATGATTTCTACAGTGGTTGTACCAGTCTACAATCACACTAACAGTAGAGAAGGGTTCTTTTTACCTCACAGTTCCTCCAGTTGTTATTGCTTTATTTCTTGATAGAAGCCATTCTTTCTGGGGTAAGGTGGACTCACAGTATTGTTTTAATTTGTATCTCTTCAATGACCAGTGATGCTGTGTTGGGAGCCGCAGCCCCGAGCCCGGTCGCCTCACTTGGCGGACGTGAGGCCTGTAGTAAAGAGTAAAGCCTGAGGTAGATTACCCCTCCCATCGAGCACGTTAGTTTCCTGCTTACCGCGTAAGCAACCCGCTCAACAATATAGTCTGCCTGGCAACTGATGATGTTAGCCAATCAGCTTGCCTTGCTTACTTTAACATGATTGGACACTGTATCCGTATATATACTGGTGCCACCCCTGGGGGGGAAGAAGAAGCCCAAAAGTAGAAGCCCAGAAGGAGCCGCGGGGAGCGGACCAAAGGAGGCTTCGGCTGGGAGCGATCCCAGGGCAGGCTGTACGGAGAAGGAAAATAAAAAAAAGGTTGTCCACTGCCAGACTTTGTCGTGTGTCCTTCCTGCCGGCCAGGAGCGACATCGACATTTGGTGGCCCGCACGGGGACTGATCACCCCCGAGACGTGACAGCAGACAACGCTCCAGTACAGAGCTGCGAAACAGGTGAGTTGGGGATAAGCCTGGGCTCTGGGTGGCGCGCACCTACAGGGCTTTTAGACTCCCCTCAGGCTCATGCGTAAGTGGCGGATTCCTTGGGCCTCACGCGGTGAGTAACATATTAAAAAATGGGAAACATGCTAGGTAGCAACATTAAGAGCGAGGGTGGTTGTGGAGAAAGCTCTCAAGAGCTTACAAAAGTACGCAGGGTATTTGAGCAGGCCCAGTCGGGGAGCTCCCGAGAGGGGCCCGTCAAGGGGAACAAAGATGCTAAGGAGAAGGACGGGGCTCTAGCCTCGGAGTCGTCTGACTCCGAGGACGAGGGAAAGTTGAATGGCAAGGAGGCCAAAGAGACCAGCTGTCAGGAGCCTAAGTCGCTCGATAAGGAGTCGAAAGGGTTCTTTCCCAGCGTTGCGCCGTGAATTGCGCTCCGCTCAACTTGGTCTGCGGAGGAGTGGAGAGCTCCTGAGCGCTCCCCGGCGCGAGAGGGAGGCGAAGCCTTCCGCCCCACCTTGGGGGCTGTTCCCGGAGGCGATCCCTCGCCGCGAGGCGGCCGCCCGGGAGCTCCCTTCCCCTTCGCCAGAACAGGAAGTGATGCACGGGCCCCCATTTTCCGCCCAATCATGGCCGCCGTCTTATGCTCCGCCGCCGGCGGGTCGGTATTTTTACAGGCGGCTTTGGCAGGGGGGACGTTTGTCTCATGAGGTACATCCACCACCTGGGATAGAGAGTGGCCCCTACGGGATATTTCCTGTACAAGTAGCTATGGGCCAGGGACGTAATGCATGGGAGCCTTTTGAGATAAAGCAGATTAGAGAACTTAAAAATGCAGTTACAACCTTTGGGCCGACTGCGCCTTACACCATTGCCATGCTGGAGAACCTGTCTTCTGGGCCCCTCACCCCCGCGGACTGGATTCAGCTGGCAAAGGCGTGTCTGCCCTCGGGTAGTTACCTGGATTGGCGAGCCTGGTACGCAGAGTTCTCTGCAGAGCAGGCTGAGAGAAACGCCAGTCGGGGAAACCGGGGGTGGAACAAGGAAATGCTTATGGGAGAAGGTCGGCACGCTGATGATCAGACTCAGTTCCCCGGCGCTGTCTATGAACAAATCAACGCCATAGGGCTCCGCGCCTGGAAGCAGGTAAGTGGTGCCGGAACAGCCTCCTTGTGTCTTTCAAAAATAATTCAGGGTACCACAGAGCCATTTGTTGACTTTGTGGCCCAAATGCAAGATGCTGCCGATAAGATATTTTCTGATCCGGGAGTGGCTCGACCGCTGGTAAGGCAGCTGATTTTTGAGCAATGTACAAAGGAGTGCAAGGCAGCGATAGCTCCTCATAAAAACAAGGACCTCAACGCCTGGATTAGGATATGCAGAGAGATAGGGGGGCCGCTCTCCAACTCGGGAGTGGCTGCTCTCCTGGCTGCGGCTGTACAGCAGAGGGGACCTCACGGGTTAGAAGGGGAATGTAAGGCTAAAGGGTGTTTTGCCTGCGGGGAGCCAGGACACATTAAACGTCATTGCCCAAACAATGCAGATGCTAGGCCTCGCCCTAGGAATGAAAAACCATATGTTTGTGGGCGATACAAGAGGGGATCACACAAAGCTGAGGAGTGTAGGTCGGTCTTTGATGCTCAGGGCAACCGTATTTGTAGACGAGATGTTAGAGGGCCAAAAAACGGCCAGAGGGGGCCCCCTACAGGCGGGCCCCCGCCCCAGAGACAGGACAGCTCAGGATGGCAGCCTTCAACAAGGGCCACCCCTGGGTCAGCAGGTGTGGACCTCAGTGTCGCCTCCAGACTTATATTAGTGCCTGATATGGGTGTTCAAGTGGTTGAAACCACCTTTAAGGGACCGTTACCCGAAAATTCCGTGGGTCTGGTGATCGGAAGATCCTCCACGGCCCTTCGGGGTCTCATAGTAGTCCCGGGGGTCATAGACTCAGACTACACAGGACACATTAAAATTATGGTTCAATCTCTTGTGGGTACTATGGTAATCAATAAAGGAGACAAGATAGCGCAGCTCTTGCTGCTCCCCAGTCTCCACAAGAGATTCCCCTCAAAGCAAAAAATTAGAGAAAGTCAAGGTTTCGGTTCCTCAGGGGAAGTCTTCGAGGGACTCCATATAATACTTGATAAAAGGCCCATGCTCTCACTTAAGGTCAATGGCAAGAGTATAACAGGGCTCCTAGACACAGGAGCTGACCGTTCCATTATCTCTAAAAAGGATTGGCCCTCCAACTGGCCCACCAACACTGCAGATAACACGCTGCAGGGCCTGGGGATGGTGTCAGCTCCTCAGGTTAGTGCTTCAACCCTGTTCTGGTGCGATGAGGAGGGTCATCAGGGCCATTTCCAACCATTTGTGTTACAGTTGCCAGTGTCTCTATGGGGAAGGGACATCCTCACTCAGATGGATGTCACGCTTACGTCAAACTGCTCCCCCCAGGCTAAGGATATACTCAGGAACCAGGGATATACCCCCGGCAAAGGCTTGGGCAATGCCCTACAGG